GGGGTACTCTCATTTTCCTACTCATATTGAAATACTGCCCCTCAATGAGGCCATTCACAAAATGTTTAGGGTTTGCGTCCCCCCAGAAAAAAAGCACTGACTAGTTCCCATGTAATATTTGCATTTTATATATGTAACATAATGGGAACTTATGAATGAAGCTTGTTACATCAGAATAGGCCCTGCAGGGAAACTGTGCACGATCTGTTCATTCGTGCACATGCAGAATATGCAACCTGGTATGGAGGAATATAACTCCTCATATATTTTGCTTTATGTTTTTAGCCCCCATTACTTCAGAGGAACCTTTGAAAATGCACGAGCAATGTCCGTAGAAGATCCAATAAGACCCCTTGGCAGGTGAGTCATTGCTGCTTATCTGGCTGAGAGGGGAAAGGCAGCAGTGAAGTCATTGCAGTGTAAATGCAGCAGTAAAGCTAATCCAGAACTTCTGTTGATATGTTTGCACTGTGCTGTCCTCCATGCCACCTCACCTCTCCCCTTTCCCGTCCCAGTAAGCAGCAGTGACTAGGTCAGGTAAGCACCTCCACCCCACCAAGCCACCTGCTACTGATAATAAATGTATTGTCCTAATATTTATCCACGCTTTTCCACAGCAAATGATTTGCATGAATGTAGTGTTCTATGAGTTTGTGGGATACCTGGGCTCCCCTTCTAATTCCTGGGTGCCAGAGACTGGATTTAGCATGTTAAAATGCAAGTCAGTTACCAGCCTTGTGATGGCCCCCTAAAGACGGGTCATTAGCTGGAACAAAGGGAGTGGCTCTGTGCCAGAGGGCAAATGGGAGGGGCTCCTCCTCCAACTCAGAATCAGCTAGAAAGGCAAAGCCTTTGAAGTAGAATTAGAAGGAGAGTACAGTGGTACCTCTAGATACAAACTTAATTTGTTCCGGAGGTCCATTCTTAACCTGAAACTGTTCTTAACTAGAGGCGTGCTTTCACTAATGGGGCCTCTTGCTGCCGCCGTGCTGCCGGCACACAATTTCCGTTCTCATCCTGGGGCAAAGTTCTCAACTGGAGGTAACTCTTCCAGGTTAGCGGAGTTTGTAACCTGAAGCATTTGTAACCTGAGACGTTTGTAACTTGAGGTACCACTGTAGTTGTTAGGATTTCAGTTGGCTGTGGGGAAAAGGCGTCACTCTGCTAAATGTAGCAAGAGGGCAGGGTCAGAGCACACTGTGGGCTAATAGTTGGAATCCAAGGCTGTAGGAATGGGAGAAACAGATTCCTCTTGGAGGGTAATGTTATAAGCCCCTCTTTTGTAGGCTACGGTAATATGTGTGTGTGTGTGTGTGTGTGTGTGTGTGTGTGTAAATAAACCATAAATCATAAAGACACCACAGTCTCCACTGTGCCTCATTTGCAAAGGAAACACAAAACACAAACCCGGGGTAAGCACCTAAACCCGTGGAATCTCGCAGTGCTATGGAGACTGGGGTGGTGTGTAACAGTACTCAACTTTTTAAAAGCCACAGTTAGGATAAAATAAATCCATTCCTCAGATCAGAATTCTTTCATTTGTAAGATATTAATGAGTAATAGAAGAAGAAAGTATCTAGTCTGGTGTTCCAAGAACTCATTTCATTAGCTAGCACATCAGGAGGAAAACCTCACATGATCTTTAAGCTAAACATCAACTAAGAATACTGAATGCAGCTAAAATGTAACTCAGCTGATTTTCTGCTGTCACACACCTCATTGTATCCCCCTCCTGAAACAATGGACGGAAACTCAGCTCAATGCAAATGAACTCGGCCAAACAATGTGTCTCCGGATCAGCTGCCAGCACCAGTGGGTTTGACCGGCTGCTGCTGCCAGTCAGTCTGAGATCTCCATCTCTGGGTTGTTCTGAGTTCAGCTTTGGGAACAGAGAAAGATTAAAAGACCTTCATATTGTGTAGGTGGGTAACTGAATCGGCAGACTGTTATGGATTTTCCTGTCCTGCAAATTCCAGGACTTCCTTCTTTGAAAAAAGCTAGAAAAACCAAATGCTTGGTGTGTTCCCTGTCTTGCATATATGAATGAAACACGGAAGGAGATACTAACATTTTGCACTCATAGGTTCATTTTATAAAGTGGTTGTACATAGGTGTGTGCAGATAGATAATATAAATACAGAGTAATATAAGAGTTATGTTCTCTCTCTGAGTGGCTAATTTTATAACCTGAAATTGTGTTTGTTTTTACATTTATTGATGAGTTTGATTTTTTTCTTAACATTTTGCCTGCATTGTCCTACGTATAGTTCTCCCCACTCCCCAAAATAAGGAGAATGACCCCAGAATGACCTCTCCCACTAGCAGAGTTGCCTTACACCAAGTCAAACTATTAGTCCACCTCTCCCCATTTTGTCTACTCAGACTGGCATCAGCTTGCCAGGGTCTCAAGCAAAAGAAGACTTTTCACCTGAACCTTTCAACTGGAGGAGCCAGGGGTTGAACCTGGAATCTTCCGCATTTAAAGCATGTGTTCTGTCCTTGAGCTAGAATACAGTTCTAGGGGGTAGAACTACAGTTTCAGGAGTTGAAGCTCTAGCTGAAATCCAAGTAGCATCCCCATTTCAAATCTTTCATCAGTACAATTCATTAACCCATTCAATTATATTTATATAGAAAAAATAGTTTCCTGTCATTGGGACAAGCTGCAGAGTAGTTTGGTGGAGCATCTATCATAGATTGGAAATAATCCGTTCTCCTGAAATGCTACTTAACCTTCAGGGTAATCAACTGAAGCTGCTGTAGGATTGCTTATCTAGCCCCAGCAATGTTCTGAAAGTGACACAAGTCTGGGATTTTGTTGTTGTTATCATGATAGCACTCCACTGAAACCCATCAGGTCACTCTCATGCTACTGTTCCAGTGCCTTTGTAAAACTGCTTCTTTTCCATCCAGTTAAAATGACTCTCCCAGAGGACCTGCTCCAGCCTGTTTCATAGCCCTTGTCTTTCTACGCCTCCAGGAATTGCAAGTTCTTCTCTATCCTGTCAAACAATCCCACCACTGTTGCTTGTGATGACAGTCACTTCTGCCTTTCCTGGCATGTGGACCAGTTTCCCTGCATCTCTGCACCTCCTCATCACTACAAACCACAAATGAAAACATAGCACTTCCTGGCTGATATTGTTTTACTTTATGTAACACTGCAGGGATGTGCAGTGACACCTTACCAAAATAATGAAGCTGATTCCCTGCTCAGGATAGACAGATGTATTTTAAGGCCAGACTTCGCCACCCTAACTATTGCCTGTTTCGAAAGAATTACTCAGTGCTGCCCTGTACAAACAAAGGGGGTGGAGAACTAAGGGTGCTTTCATACAGGCCAAATAATTCCTGATTTAGCAATGACATTTTGAGGTATTGGGGGTGGGGAGCGGTTTCTCCACAGATATGAAGATGTGATCACACACACTCGTCCAACACTACATTGCCGATTGTGACACACATGTGGCATGTGGCTATTGAATGCATGCTGTATGGACTCACCCCCATGACCATAGCAGGCAGGGGGTTGTTTTGGAAATTCCTTTATGCAACATCTAGGAAGCAGGAGGGTAGGACTGAGGACAGCCATCTAACATGTCTATAAATACAAATTAAATCTGCTCAAATAATCTACAGTAGAGAGATTTCAAGAACAGTAGGTGCTTGTTTGGATGGGCACTCACCTACCAGCGAATATGATGCTTGTTCCCCATTGCTGCCCTAAAGAATTAGACAAATTAATGGAGGAGAGGGCTATCAAAGGCTACAAGCCATTATGGCAATGCTTTGCCCCCACAGCTGGAGGCAGTAATGCTTCTGAATACTGGTGGCTGGAATCTTCCTTGCAGGTTACCCACAGGCATCTGGCTGGCCACTGTGAGAACAGGGTGCTGGAATAGGTTGGCCACTGGCCTGATCCAGCAGGCTCTTCTTATGTCCCTATGTCCCTGGTCTGCATGTGCTGACATCAGTTCTCCAGGGTTTCAGATGATAATCTTTTCCAGTCCTAACTGGAGACACCAGGGGTTAATCCTGGAATTTCTTGCATGCAAACCAGTACGCTTCCACTGTGCTTCACTTCTATATCCCATCTAGCTTTAAAAGGCCAAATGGAGGCATTTTGCTTGTAAGGCGGTGATTCCAGAGCACCATACTTTTCAGAGACAGATCCAGATTGCAGTGTTGCAATGTTCACCTTAAGTAGTGAACCAACATACTCACAGAGACACAGACACACTCCCTTGTCCCCATTTCATTCTTTTTAAAAAACTGATCTGACTAGCAGATGAATCTTAGTTCAATACTGGCAACAGCACAGTAACTTCCATTGCACCTGAGGGTGCAGAGTAATATAGGAGAGTCAGGACTGGCCATGTAACACACGACTTTGTCCTTCAAGGTAATGGAAAAGCCAGTGGGCAATAGCTAGGAGGCTGCTGTCACTGCTTCCCCTACAGCACTGGATAGCTGAGGCAGTTGCCTCACTTTACCTAATGGTAGAGCTGGTCCTGCACACACCAGCCAAGCAGAAAGGCTGTGGCTTCAGTGTGAAACTTGCTTTCAGCCCATTTCTTGTCTGACAAATCTCACAGTAGCAACATAGGTCTCCTATCCATGCTTTGGATTTGTTTTAGAGTAATCCACATTCTGGCAGGATCCGAATGCAAGCCTAGGTGCTGAAGGGTGAATGCGAAGCACTTCTGGTGGGAGCCCTTTATTCAGGGACAAGGCAAGCGTATTTATTTTCTCCTTACTTAATTTCAACCTTGAGAATGCACTGATCTTCTCCACACTGCCGCCCCCCCCCCCCGCTTCTCTGGGTTGAGGATGACGATTTCTCTTGACTCCATTCCAAGAATGCTGTCTTCTCTTTATTGATGGGGATTGCGCTGTTCATTCTTATCAGAGGAATAGGTTTCAGCTATGCTCTCGCTCCATTAGCTCCGATACACCGTGGGGAATAAAGCTGCCCATCTCCTTCACTGCGAATGCCGGCAATGGAGCGCTACCCTGGTTGCTGCCAACTCAGTGATGTCATCTTCAACTGCAATGCGACCTCCCCTCCTGGCCTTGTGCAAAACTCCCTTAATGAGGCGTCTGTGCTCCTGGCTGCTTCCCTGTTGGCACTCAGGAAAGCAAAGGGCCTGCTGCACAAATCCATCTTTGCAGGCATTCATCTTTATTGTTGCAAACTGACCCAAAGTACCTCTCTCCCTCCGATGAGCCTGATTGAAATTCAATGGGAGAAAAAAAAAATGCCAGGAGAACAATTTGTCCTTAACTAAACACAGCCTTTTTCTCCCCCCTCCCCCTCCCCCTCTGTGCAGGAGCTGCTGTTAGTTTGCTTCCAAGATTCTCCTTCGGGCAAGGATAAAAGATTGGGAGCCTGAATTTCTAAACATTAGCTAAATCTAGTGGATGGACCCGTCCCCACACTTCTTCACTATACAGCATTTACAGTCAGATGCAAAATACTATACACAAGCTGCAGAAGCAATCCCCCAAGAAAGTAACATGAGATTCCTCTTCTCTGTTACAGGAGCCTATTTCCTCCGGACAAAGCCTGCATACAAGGCAAGGCTGCACCTTTTTATTCTGATAAACTGCCCTGGTCATTTTATTTTAAACAGCAGTTGAGATTACTGTGCTAATCACTAAAGAAAATGCATGCATTCCCAATAGGGCTTCTTACTGAGTTTGCTCCGTTTATTTGATAGGAGCATAGGAAGCTGCCTTGGACATAGCTCATGTGGCTAGAGTGTGATGCTGATAGCACCAAGGTTGAAGGCTGCATATTCCTGCATTGCATGGGGCTGGATTAGATGATCTTCAAGGTTCCTTCCAACTCTAGAATTATATGATTTTATGTATATACCAAGTCAGACCATCTAGCAAAGCACTGTCTATGCTGACTGGTAGCAGCACTTCAGGATTTGAGACCGGGGTCCCTCCCAGTCATACTTGGAGACGCTGGGGAAAAAATGCTCTGTTTCCCTGAAGTTCAGGGGAAGTAATTTCCCAGCTGTCTTTCTATGTAGTTTGCATCCTATTCTGCCCCTAGGTGGCTCACATGTGGACCTCATTTTATCAATCCTGCAATGTAGGTTAGTCCGAGGAAATTAGACTAACAATTAACAATCCTGCAATGAAGGTTAGTCTAAGGAATGATTTACCCAAGGTCATTCAGTGAGCTTCTTGCATGAGCAAGGAATTGAACCTGAGCTTCTTACAATCAAATCTGTGATAGAGCCACTTCTGAAAGACACAAATATATTTTTCTGGGAAGTTTGTGAAAATATTGCATAAGAATTATAACATATGTCTGCCTTAGACAATGTCCATATGGCAAAACTCTTGAGAGAATGTTCACACTTTACTCTCTCTGGAATTCTAAAGTACGTAGATTATGCTTCCAATATTACACCACCACAAATCTTGTTGTTTTCTGCGTGTACACCCAACATTCTAACCCAGTTTCCCTCAACCTGACACCCTACAGATATTTAGGACTACAACTGCTATCATCTCTGACCACTGGCTATGCTGCCTGGGGGTGATGGGGCTTGTACTCCAGAACATCTGGTGGACACCAGGTTGTAGGAAGGCTGCTGTAGCATGAATGGTTTTGCTTATGCTTCAGGGAGTGCATTTGACAAATGCTGTCTCCGAAGGTTTGATGATGTCATCACTGTACTCTCAGTGGAAAGTTCCGTTGACGTTAGCCAAAACTGGACAAGGTCTCTAGCACTAGGAAATGTTGTATTTTCCTAAGGGTGGCCAACGGAGCATGAATAGCTTCATATTCACAGCAAACATGATGGTGATAGAGAATACCTATGTGAGATACAATATATATATATTTTCAATCAGTCACTGGTAATTCTATTCTGTGGCTCCCAAGGCCTGTTTGCAAAAATATAGTAATAACCTATTCTTGCAGTTAGATCACGAGTTGGTTGGACAGAAGGAGAAGAAGAGCAGAGCATGAGGAGGTAATGCAAGACAGTGTGAGGGCAGCAGCTGCCTAACAATACTAGCACACAGCTTCACCATTTCATTGCAGAGCTTGTGATTTGGGCCTCACATGATTGCAATAAAATCACAAGAGCAGCCATCTGGGTGTATATGCATATATTTGGCAATCCACAATGGCACAGTATCTTCACAACAGTGAGACCTTCTGATAGACTAATCAAAATGTAAAACATAGAGGACACTTGAAGTCTGCTAGTGCTTTCACTATACTTCTCCTCATTAACATCTCGTATCAGTGTTGTGCTAGGCACTGTGCAAAACACAGAAATTATACAGAGCCTGCTGAGAGTTCTTGCAGCCTACAATAGCCAGGCATGACAGGGATGGACAGAGGCCATTGGGTAGTTGACAGTTAAGGCACAACAGAGGAAATTAGGGGCTGCTGTGGTCCGTATACTTATGGAAGTGAAGTGCTCTGAAGTAAGAGACACCTGTGATGGCCTCAGGAATAATCAAAATAAGAGATATTTGTCAACCAACATCTTAACTATGGTAGGGGCAAATAGTGGCACATAAATAGTGGCACCTTAACTCAGATGGAGTTGCAAAATGAGCCTTAAAAGCCATGTTGATAGATGATAGATAGATAGATGATAGATAGATAGATAGATAGATAGATAGATAGATAGATGATAGATAGATGATAGATGATGATAGATGATGATAGATAGATAGATAGATATTCAGACCTATCTGTCTGTCTGTCTGTCTGTCTGTCTATCATCATCATCATCATCATCTATCTATCTAGATATAATGTATTGCAATAGGCCCCTCTGAATCTGTGAGTTTTCTGAATGTGTCTCATGCTCAGACCAGTTTGTGCAAAGAATTTATAGCCAAGCTGGGGACACATAGAAATGCAAAGATGCATAGAACAACACTGTTACAAGTAACCATATTCTGTTTCTGACAGCAATGGCCAAAAAGACCTGGTAGTATATTTTGTGACCAAAGACACTGGACGAGGATGCTGGAAGCATGGTGGTAGGTGATGTACAGTTGACGACTCACCCCAGTAATACCTCCAGCTTGCTAATGATATTAATGGAATGTACCTATGTGAGGAGCTACTAACCAGTCATCAGGTACACACCATGGCATTGATCAGGCCACCCCATGCCTCCAACAAGACTCCTGCCATTAAGAGAATGGGGCTCTATTCCCCACTCACAATTTGGTTCCTGTTCTGCAGTGGCAGACATCCTGTATCTGTCACATCACCTCCTTGCTATTCCTGCCTTCCTACATTCTACATTCCTGTAACCTGATACCTGCACCAAATTCATTGAAAGAGAATAGAATGTAAGCAACTGCAATCTGGATATGGTGAGGCTGAAATTCTCTCCACCCGCCTCCCCACAACTCCCTGCTCTGTCTCCACACATACACCATCATCCATTTGCATAAACTATTAAGCAGCAAGCTAAATAGATGTGGCCTCTTTAGGCTGTAATCCAGCGCTGAGATGAGCTAAGCGCACAGCACTTACTGCTCCATGTAATCAATTCCAGTGCAGCACATTCATTATCGTTGCCTTTAGCATTAATATGTCTCATAAAGAAAATGCTCCCATGTGTTGCCCAAGGCCTCAGCAGCTTGCTCGCTGCCCCTAGTTCTCTCTGATTTCCGCCTTTAAAAAAATAAGTAAATTAAAAAGCAGCTCTAATTATTGTCCCTGCTTCCATGGATGCCATTCAGCCACTGATCTCCATGTGTCATCGCCGGGTTGTGGGCAGCTGTGTGAGGTGAGCTGGGGGCCAGGAACTATGGGATGAGCCAGAAGTCAGGAGCAAAGGACAAAATCAGTAAGCAGGATCACGGAGCTAAGCCAGGTGTCAAGACTGAAGAGCAAGTCAGAACTGGAGGACACAGAAGACAGGATTGAGGTGCAAGCCAGAGGTCAGAACCAAAGGACAATATATGAACACACCAGAGCTCAGAAATAGGTTCAAGCAAGACTCAACTGGCACAGCAAGGACTGCGCCTTCCTGTTCAGGGAGATCCAATGGCCAACCTGTGTGGGCAGAGTCCGTTCAGGGCCTGAGGGTTCTCCACTGAGTAGCTATTCACATGCAGTTCAGTGGCTCACCACAGGGGGAGCCATCCTGATTCCATGGGCATGGCTTCCATCGCTCCTTTCTTATGTGGATATAACTTTCTGAACAATGTCAACAGAAGCTTTGTGAGCGATATATACACTAATGTTCTATGCAGGATGCAGCAGGTGATTTTCCATGTCTGTCCCTTACAGATTTGAGGATCTGGTATGCTCTAATGTGCAGGTAACGTGCAATCTGCATTGTGCCATGCACCAGCCCAGTCTTCATCTGCTCTACAGACAGTTTTGGATTCAGGGTTGGCACATTGGGGAGTACTGAGGAACAGCATCAACTTATAGCTGCCACACACCATTCTGTTTAAGCAAGAGCCACATGTTCTATTCCCATTGCTACTGCTTCAACCCAAGTGGAGGCATGATTAACTGCACTCCAGGCATGGCCAGAGTTGCAAGGCATTCATCTTAACATGTGAACCACTGCTTTACCATTAACCAAGGAGGTAAAAATCATGGGTGTCTCTAAAGCCAGATCTCCTATAATAAGGGAGCAAAAATTTAGGTGGCCAGAAACAACTGGTGCCTAGAGCAGTTGGTCCTGGTGAGTGGGTTGGCGAAGAGCCGTTGCTGTTTTGTTTTATGGTTTTATTTCACAGTAGTACTTTTAAATCTTGTACGGTGAATTGAATGCTGGATGAGTGGCATAGAAATATTTAAGTCCAATAAGATTAGTAAACGTAGCAATGTAAAGATAGTGATGATTTCCAGGTATGCATGCCCTCTGCCATCTCTGTGTTAGGTAGTGCCTGAATAGAAGCCAAAAGGACTGCACCACCATTACAACTGAGTGGATCAGTTCACAGGCTCCCAAGAGAGGCAGGGATGGGGTTCAGCAATGGAAGGAAGATGGACCAAAGCAAGAGGCAGGTTGTCACAGCCAGAGTGCAGAACAGCAAGGAATCATCATCATCATCATCCTGTCATGGGGGTACTGGGTTGCGTCCCCTCATAATTCTGCACCTGGGGCCATGGCCACACACACACACACTATGCCACTGCCAGGGGGAGTCTCTGTAAGTTCTGCATTGTTTTAGCTGCTGACCTAGCTCTCATAAAAGAAATAAAAGTGCATTAGACAACAGCAACTAAGGTGTGCCATGCCAGGGATGTGTGCAAAGTAAGGAATGACATCAGTAAAATAAATCCAAATGACTCAATTTTTGGCATATTCAGTATGAGAAAGCAGAAGTTGTATCAAGCCACTAGCCACTCCATATCCCAACCAGAGTGGAGTTCAGTCATGGACTTTTCAGTAGCACGGAGTCCAAAGTTCCCTGTCGAGGTGAAATCTGGTGTGGGCAAAACTCATCCCTGCCCTCGGGCTGCCCACCCCCTCGAGCTCTGGGCCACTGCCTCCCCAACAAGAATCCCCTGGCAGAGTAATGTAGGAATTAAGGTATCAACTGGTAGTTGCTGTGAAGAGCTCAGGGAGGGGAGCTGTGAGGATAACATTGAGTCCCCCGCCTCCCAATTTCAATCCCCCTAAATTGCTTACTCTCCCATTAGGCTGCCTACAAATGTGGTTGCAAAATTGGGGGGCCATTTTTGCTCAGCTCTGCTTTTCAGCCTCTCTGTGATAACAGGCTTTTAGTCCTCTGATACAAGTAATTCCACACAATGGCTGGGATCCAAACTCCTTCAGGTGCCTACAAAGAGCGTCTTTTAAGGTGCCTGTGTGTACACAGCAGCGTTTCCCACTTTCTTCTTCTTCCTGACAACAGGTCTTTGTGCCTCATAGCAGGATGTTTCTGCAGTTGCTTCAGTTTTGGAGGCAGCAACATGGTTTAGTTTAAAAACTAATGAGTCCCATGACTTTTTTTTTTTTTTGAGAAAGACCATTTAAAATGTTTGACCTCACTGAGGTTTAGAAATCTTCTGATCTGCATTGGCCATTGTGACAAAACTCCAGGATAATGAACTTGATAGAATCAACACAGGCTCATGCCAGATTGTCAGAATATGTCTGACAGAGTGCAACAGAAGGCTGATAAATACACCGCTCTCTGATTGTATGAATGGTTGGAATGTGTTATACTTCCAGCTAAACTAAATGTGAGTACAATTAACATGAAAGCTTTTAAAAATGCCTAATAGCAGCAAAGAACGAGTTCAAGCAGCATCAGGACTGCAGGAAAAGGAGAGGGAGACATTAGCTCTCCCTCTCCACTGTGATCATCCCATTCAGACTTGCAAACAGCAGCAGGGGTGGCAATTTTTCTAGACTATGGCAGGGGAGGAAAGGGTTAAGCTCTTCCTCTGCACTCTGAGCTCTTGATGTTAGGACTCGCCTACAGCTGCTATACCTTTTTTATTTTTCAGAAAAATATTTTAATTGCATTCATGCAATTAATGTCATGCCTAGTTTAGCCCTTAATCAATGTCGATCAGCTTGAGCACCTACACTGTAGCATGGAGTCTGGATTTCCCTTCTTGCTTTAATTCTGGTAACAGAATTAGGGTGGCACTGATTTTGGGTTTAGTGGTCAGCGTTAGTCTTTGTTGCTGCATATTAGCATGGATTTCTGCGTACCAGGAAGTTGGGCTTGAAGCAGACAGTTAGTGGGCAGGAGTAGGAACAATGGTCAGTTGAAGAATTCTAGGAAGTGTCCATTTAAAGGATTACAAAGGCACTACCTTCTTCCAAGGTGGCAGGTTCCAAGGCCACTTACACTCTGGCACCAGTGCACTCCCACTGCTGGTGTTTGGAGCTGTGTATACGCAATATTACCAACAAACCTGTAGCTTCTTGAGAAATACTGCTGTTTGATATGTTTTCCCCTCAAATTACCTTCCACCTGATTAGAAAGCCACATTCACTTTGCAGATGACAACTTCATAAATAGGAGTTGGGGAGCTGCAGGTGTGGGAAAACCAAATAATGTGCACCAAGTGAAGACATTTCTGCCTCATCTCTGGTGTACAGAAATGTGCAAATGTGACCTGAAATGCAGTCTGGGAAGGCGGCCGGGGTGGGGTGGGGTTTGACCTCGCTGTGTTTTAAGCTGCTAATGTGTACATAGCCCAAGTCTCTTAAAGCCGGTGACTGATGACTTAATCCAAATGGTTTGTTTCTCAAATGCTTTTCTGAGTGTTTTTACTCCCCTGTTTCTAGCCAACGCTGCTATGCAAAATTGCCACAAGTTCTTTTCTTTTCCAATACCTGATGCGTTTGATGTCCGTTTTCTCGGTCTGAAGAAATCAATGTCTGTATCAGTAGATGAATGTATTGGTTTTGCCTCTCCAAGACAAGCCTTTTCAAACAAGATGGTATATTCTGTAGCCACGTCATTTTAATTAAAAATATACCAAGGAGCTATTCATACCGGGGGCACATGAAAGGTTTCAGCAACATGCCCTGGAGCAGTTCAAACTTAATAAAGTCAAGGTGGGCCTTGGAGGACACCAGGCTTGCCTTTGATGGAGCCAAATAGATTTATAACATCTTCTAACAGCAAAGAGTTTTGTTCTTAGCAAAGAATATTTGATGGGGTATATGCAACGTACTGGGAAAAGAGTCATGGGGGTGGGGGAGAGGGAAAAGGAAGACTTTGTTGTTTTGTTCATTAGAGAACTCATCTAGGAAAGTGCGGCTTAACCTCCTCTTTGCTTATACTGTAGCATGTTTAATTTCAAAACAAGACTGGACCAGAACACAAACTCCAGCTTGATTTATCTAGTCTTGCTGCCACCTGCGATGTCAATTTGATATCTTAGAAAGAAGGCAAATAATCTAGGGTTGGTTAGAAGGAGGGAAGAAAACAATAACTGATAAGAATATTTACTTTTTCAGCACATAAAAAGACCAAGGGGATGGCCAGTGAAATTTGTAGGCAACAGGCTTTGTGACATTACATGACCTTCCCTTTTTAACCTGCTTGGCTATAGCAGAGAGCACGAGAAAAGTGGCAAATTCAGCTATCAGTTGAGGAAGTATGCTAGCCATGTTTACATCTTTGTCAGCTAATGAGGCCCAAGTACCTTTATACAATATCCACAGCTGCTGTGGCTTTTGCTTTCCTTTGACCGTGCCATACTGTCCCTTGCAAAAAGCTAGAGAAGTCTCTCCATTTCTGGCAAATGTCTCAGTTCATTCAATCAATAACTGCAGCAGAAAAGGGTTGTTTGAAAGCCTTTTGATCAAAGATATCGTGTGACCACAGCACAGCACATGACTCCCTATGGCATCAGAGAAATTCAGCCAATGGCAGCCAGAGGATATGACAAGTGGGAAGCTGACTCATTTGAAGGATGTTCATGGACCTGCTGCGAAACCTTGAAGTCTGTTGCAAGTGTCAACTTCATTGAGACAGCAACTCAATCACGTTTTATTGGATTTAGGGAATCACCTGGTAAGAGTAAGATAAAGAAGACTGAACTAACAGAAAAGTGATAGAGGAGAGAGGGAGGTGGACACTCCAGGAGATTTGACAGCGAATAATATTTGCTGTTCTGATGGGTCACCATTGTATGAAATTATATCATTCTACCAAATATATATTACGCACACATGCATTCAAAGAAAAAGAAAACAGTAAATATTGTACACTGTTATGGAGTTTTAAATTTTATATGTGTGTATTTATTTGGCATATGCTATAGTGGTAAAAAGCTTGGAGGGAGAACTGAGCATGGAGGTTGGCTCAGGTGGTCTGCATCTTAGCCAAGGCCCTGTCAACTAGGGCATGAGCGAGTGAGAAGAGGAGGTCCTTGCAGTTCACAATTCTCATGTCTCAACCCCCAAGTTGCTGGTGGTATGGTAGCAAGCCAATCAGCATTTCTGCTATGTGTAGGGTGGGGCTGGAGATTGATATTAAAAGCTGCTATAAAGAAAAACTATGCAGGCACTAGCAACCAAACCAATGAATATGGTAAGAAGCGGAGTTGGATGGCATGAAAAAGGCTGGACATAATGAAAAGCATATTAGAATATAATTGGGCCCAACTCTTATCTGAATGAAGCAACTGCATATTTGTACCGCTTCCCCTGATTGATTGACAGACTGCATTGACTTGGGGGTGTTTCTGAGCCAAACCATGGCTTAGCCCTGGGTAGTGCAGCAGGGCCGACGGTTCACCCCGTACAGAGGCTAATGCAAAAGGAATATTCTGATGACTGCCTTTGTGGGAGCACTGACATTGCATCAGGACTTGAACCAATTTCACAGAGAAGTGGTTCCCAATTAGCAAAGTACTGTTTCCAAAAGCCAAGCCATGAACCCCCTACTTCTGAAAATGTCGATACCCTGTGGTTTTTGTTCTGTGAATGGTGCCACCATACCCGCCAACATGTCCCAGCGCTAAATTGGGCTGTGCTCTCATGTGAGTTATGTGACCCGCATGAGAGCATGGCACCCAAAAGATGCACATCTGGCTGCAATCTCACACGTTTTTGGGCTCTGTGTTCTCATGCGAGATGTCCCGGAGAGTTGATAGATATGTGCCACGGACCTCCTGGAGGACCTCCAATTGGGACCACCCTGGAGGGCTGTGGAGTTGGCTGTGTGCTGTGCTAGCTTTTGTTTCTACAGCTATTGTTGTGGCATGGAATTTGCTGCTGAGAGTACATAGGACCACATTTATGCTATGCCAACATTAGCCCTAGCATAGAGGGACCATAGGATCATCCTGAAAACAAAAATTTGTTCCACTGTAAGAAGCAGATGCATAGAGCTCCGATTAGAATCACACAAACGCACACATATATATGGAAATAAATAAATCTGACATACTGTCAATGTTTAGATTATTTTTCTTTTCTTTCTTTACATTTTCACAAGAGCAGGAAATTAGAGGGAGCAGACAATCATTATTTAATGGCAGCAGAAGCTCAGTTTCAGATGCATATCTAGGCAAATTCTTCCAAGCATAGCATACCCCCCCCCCAAAATATGAAGTGATTGCTGGCTTGTGATTGCTGGCTTGGCATATACATCACCCCTGAGAGTCAAAGATAAGGGAAAGCCGTGCAGGTCAACCCGAACATGAATTGTTGATAAAATCTATATAGCACACAGCACCGTGGATTAGCATACATGTACAGAGGAGAGAGCAATGGCATTGTAACATTTATTACAGTGAGCCATGAATGAAAAACAAGCATCAAACAGAACATGCACACTGTATGAGAAGAACAGGCCAACAGGGATTGGGGGGCAAGGGGGCAGACCTTGCTACCAGACAGGTAGCATCAGACTTTGACAAATGCGTTTTCATGCCTGAAGTGAAGAACAAGATGGTGCCTCCCTTCCGTTCAATGCACGAAAGTCAGCTGAACTGACAGATGAATCTTACTTCAAAATTGATAACGGTATAAATCAGTATCCATATATATAAATCAGTATCCACACATATAAGGGAATTCTAATTAAAAATAGCACATAGATGGCATCACACACCAATACAGATGTCTAAAATAACATCTGGACACTTGCCATATTACTGGCTTGGGGGCAGAGGTACATTTCCTCTGGTTTATACTGGGATTGCTTGCTGATTTATATATTTGGATTAACATTTAGAGGGAGATCTCCAGTATATGTAGAAATGATATTGTAATGACCCGCCCAATTTTCATTGTTAAATCTCTGCAATGGCTATGTGTGTAATTCATGCTCAAAAGACCTCCTAACATGGATGCTGGCTGCAGCCAAAACCTCGATAGTGGAACGGTGGAAAACACTGAAGGACGTGCAGTTAACACTTTGGTACAAAAATGTGTGGATACTAGTGATTTCAGACAAGGGTACTCACTACATCACAGTGGCTCTCCCAAAGGCTGGACTGGTTCCGTGCATTAAAGAGTGTGTGTGTGTATAGTTGCTCTTTACTAGGACTGTAAAAGAAGGATTCAGACAAACATCTGAGTGATGCAGTCACTGAGTGTGGGAACCAGCCATTTGACTTGCCTGGCGCTACCAAACAACACCTCCTGGAATTCCTTTGCAAGGTGTGTGGTGTGGCAGGAAGAGGAAAGTTGTGTTCTTACACTTTGGCTATGGCATGTCACAGCTTGGCTATGAAGAGCTGTATCTCAGTGACAGGGCATTTTCCTTGTGTATAGAAGGTCCCGGATTTAATCTTTGACATCTCCAGGTAGGCATGGGAGACACTTCTATCCAAAACCCTGGAGAGCCACTACCAGTCAGTGTAGACGATATTGGGCTAGATGGACTTGACTCAGTACAAGACAACTTCCTGTGTTCCTAGGAACTTCAATTACTTGATTGACCTCTGCCATCTTCCCTTTGGCTGCTCCTCAGGAGCCACCCAGAGAGAATGACAAGAAGTGGCTCAGTCAAGATTTGGTAGAAAAGATTCAGGATTGAGACTAGGGAGGGGGAAAAATATTGTCAGGAGAGTTGTGGCACCTGTCACCAATGGAAGTGAGACCTTGCCATTACAGGTGGTTAGGATGCTGAGGCTAATGTAGCACAATGCTATTTGTTGTTGGTTGATTCTGTGCCACAGATGGTCATGATTCTGAGGGTGGCAGTGACTTTTGGAAGAAAAAGAGAGAGTAATTTCTCCTACCAATGGTACATAAAAACAAAAAAAACAAATAAACAAGTCATCACTGAAGGAAGCTTAATTATCTGGCATATTAGTCCCAGGGAGACTGATTAGGAAGCAGGTAGAAATAATTGATCATTCAGTTCAGTAACTGATTACTTTGTGCTGTAGTTTATCATACAGTTATCTCACTACTGTTGGCTTAATCACTGGACCCTCATTCCAGATATGGGGGAACTAGTTGTAGTGACTCAGTGGAGAGGTATAGGCACTCCAAACATGCTCAGAGGTATCCTACAATCAGCTTTCCAATAAAGTTGTCTGAGCTTAGGTATTGAATAGTATGGTGGGCTCACACTCCAGAACCCTATGAAACCATGGGACCAACTTAACTAAATTTGTAGAATCTAGTCCATAAACTATATTATGCTCAGTGTTCTCTAATTATAGATGGCTGTATATATAACCATGACTGGATGTGTGAGACACACTAATCTGCCAGGACAAAGGGTTCAAAACCAGTGGGAGCAACTGGGATCTAGCTGGGAAAGAGCTGTTTTGGATTGAGAGTCAGAACTACTACTGCTCTGAGACTAGTATCATTTGCCCATATGCAATTCCTTCTGTGTCCATATAAGGCCTGCTCAACCTGTACATTCCCTAAAACAGTAAAGTGACACTTACAAGGACATGATAAATCTCCAGTGCAGGTGGGTGTTTCGATGTACAGTTCTAGCAATGTCAGCTTGAATCAACATCACGACTTTGACTTCTGCATCAACCACAACTACTGCCTCCACAATGAAACCGAAAGGAAGGAAAGCTGCTGGCATTTCCACCTCCAGCTAGCAGGGAATGTATGTAAATTAACCACTACCAGCACCATGCTCCTGTAAGGCTGATAAATGGAAAAAATAGGGCACTTGTCAGCCACCTAATAGGTGTCTGTGAGCTCAGATCACAAGGAAATGGGCTGAATGACAGGATGGGTAGGAGACATGGCCAGATTATAATAGGGCAGTTGGAACAATTACACAAGAGACCATGCTTGCAGACTCTGAACTTCATATCTTTTCTGCTTTTTAAAAGTAAGTCTCTAGATCTCCAGGAAGTAAAGTTATGAAGCAAAATGTGCAGCCAACTTTTTGAAGCCGTTTCTGGAAGATGAGCCAGTCTGGCTGCTCATACTTTTCAGTGTTTTAAGCCAGTGAGTAAAGTCTGAATTATGTTTGATGAGTGTTTGAATGCTAGGCTACAGGAACCGCCAGGGTCCTAAAGAGCTGCTATTTCCCTTGCTCTTTAGTGCACTCTTCCTGCACTGCTGTAGTTTGCCCTTCCTTTCTAGCAACCAAAATTCACATTTCTTGTGGTGGGTTCATTTGATATCACATACACCCGATATTTTCAGCAAATACTATTGCACAATAGTGCAAATGGGTGTTCAATAATCCTCCTTCCCCACAAATGGCAAATGCAAAATGTGAAAATGTGGAAAGAGGTCTTGAGATGTCTCCTGCTGTGTAGGAGATGAACTCCAGGAACTCATTAAGAATTCACTATATAGTTAACTTACAATGCAATGGTAAACATGTCTGCTCCTAAGTACGTCTTAAGTAGAGCTTGACGTAGGGAAGGACAGGATTGCAAAATCAAACAATCCCAACACAACTGAATTATTATTAATAGAATAAAAATGATTCCATAACATTTAAAAATCCATTTTCGTTATCTCAGTGATTTTGCCATTGGGAAAGAACATTAGTAAGTGGAAACAGATTTTGTGTTTTTTTTTGTACTGAGAAGTTAGGAAAACTCTGACTGTGCTTTTTCATACTATTTTACCTATAAGAGTAAAATCATCACTAAAATGAAAGCAGTTCACACTGCTTTCCACAGTCCCCTATGCCCAGTGGCTACAGGCCTAAGTTAATCAATCCTAGGAATCAATCCTTTGTGCATACTTACTAACCTGGGAGTAAGCTCAACTGGGCACAAGTGAGACCTATGCATTTAAAATATACAGTAAACATGCCAATTTAATATTACTTGAAGCCTTGAAACTATACGAATTTGCAAGGAAGGAATGGCAAAAAACATAGTCCTTTATAGTACAAATATGCATTAATGGAACTGAAATTTGATGCCTGTGATTCATGCACTAAGTCCCCCTTTGCAGCCATTGATGCCTCTTACATCTTCACAACAGTGAAACTGTACTTGCTTAGAATATTTTTTTGGAATCCACAGAAATTTATGATTAAGACACACATGAAAAAAAATATGTTTATATCATTTATATCAGGCTGCTTCTTCTGATTCCTTTGTTCAGGTAAAGTGAAATAGTGCATTTCACCTGAATTTCTGGAAATTATGACATGAGATTTTGTGAACATTTCCTGTTTTGATCTAGTTCTGCCCCTTTAAGACCAAGCTTGTGTGGGCTTTGCCAAGGGGGATCGAACCCATGAATACCTTGGCACCCTGCATTCAGCTGGCACTGCACACGTCACTCACAGTTTCCACAGCTGATTGGAATGTTCAGAACTGTACCCAGCAAATTGCAGCTTGGTGAGGGTTTCGGAGGAGAGAATTTGACACTGAGCAGATTAAGAAAGCTATACTCACTGTATGCCTGGAGCACTGGTATGTTTCAGAGGGCTCTTCTTGCTTCCCAGATTAAGAAAAGGAAGTGTAGATACTAATTTCACAGCAACGTGGTTGTTCATTTTCTGCCTCAAAGAGCCTCTGAGACTTCGCCTTTATGGGTAGGATTCACCTAATAAGCCATGTCAGTGAAAGCCCTGTGCAAGGCACATTGCACAAGTGGTAAGCCTTGTACACCCCCAAAACTGGCTCGAGGGGGTGGTGGTGGTGGGAGAACTCCCAGAACAGTAAATGGGCAATGCCAGTGCTATTTTTTCTAGAAAAAGAGGTGCCAAAACTCACCATGAACGCCTCCCTTGTTCTCTTATAATGGCAATGGCACCCACCAGAGGTGCTGGAACTGAGTTCCTGTGAGTTCTGGCAGAATAAAGGCCCTGGGCCATGCCCTGTTGGTCGCACAATCAATGGAGCTCACAGCCCTAACATAATAAAGAGAATGGATTGTTATTTGTAAGGAAGAGCGTTCTGTTGTTTCAGCCGTCACCTGCCTTCTTAATGAATACAACCCAGAAACAGGCCTATTCTCAGTGTAGGCTCAAGGTCAGCATCCTGGGGCAGCTACTGTGCCCCACACCGTGCCGCCAGCACTGTCACCTTCCCCATGCCTTCCACATAGGGTAGTTGGCTCTGTGAGCCTCCATTTTACTTTCTCACTATAGCACGGAACGACGCTGCATCTGGTGCTCTGGAGTACTGCCAGGGTTGGGGTTTGGATTTAAATGGCAGTCTGAGGGTCCAAAGGCCCCCTCAAACCTGGAGCTGGCCCTGCCTGTCCTTCATATGTTGTTTAGCAAAACTGGGCCCATTTTGCAGCCTTTTTTTTTTTTGCAGAAGGAACTACTAAGGGAATTTTATAACCAGCAAATTCTCTTCCGCAGAGTCAACTGTGCTACAGGCATGTGGCGTGTTCTCAATTCCCAATCCTCTGCTGTGTCGAATGTTTCCAAAACTCTTGCAGTAGGAACAAAGTGGGAACAGGACACAGCTGGGCTGGTCCGATCGTCCGCCAGCTGGGAAGGCATGAAAAGGGAGAGCTGGCAGGACTGTTTTTCACTCTGTTTCAGAGTCTGACGTTCATAATGTGAGGAATGGTTCTCTTTCAAAGGACATGAAATGGAAATATTCCCCTTCTCTTGGATGTTTTGGAAAGTGGATTTCTGTTTGAAAAACACCTTTTGGGGCAAAGAGGTTTTGCACCAAAATTCTTTGCCAGTTCCTGGAATTGCTAAAAAGCAGAAACAACTGGAGAAGGTCAGGAAATGAAAACAGCTCTGGGACAGCAGAACATTTCAACTTAAAAGCTGCCCGCTGGTAGAAAGATGAGTTACAGAAGCAGAACTTCACTTAGAAAATGTGGACTTGTGTAAATCCCATGAAAAAACACACAAACTGGACCTGTGATTTAAAAGTGGGAAAGCAGCAGGAGGGAAGAGGGTAGGGTGGCCATGTGGCCGACTTTAGGGAAGGTAGCCCACTATTTGAAAGGCTGTCCAGTCCAAGTTTAAATGAACCATAAGATGGGTCAGCAGGAAGGACCTTGAAATGCAGACAGCAGGCATACAGGTCAACTGGTCTCAATCTTTCCCACTGCAGTGATATGTACTGTATTTATATTTCAAAGATAGCAATTACTTCTAAATTTGCACCTACACATATAAACCAGCATATGCAAATATAATGTAAACCAGTGTCCTCTTTTTTACAGTAACCTTTCTCCTCTCTCTCTCTCTCTTTTGGTAATGCATGTGACCACTCTAGAAGAGGATGCCAAGACCTAGGCCTGCCTGCACTCTCTCTACCCACAAAACTGCCTCACCCAAAGCTGCCTTTCTTCTGGCAGGCATTACTTTTGATCATAGAGCTTGACTGAAAGAAAAGCTTTCTGCGGAGGAGGGTTTTCTTTGCAGCAGAGGAAACTGGGAAGCAGGAGGGGAGGATTCAAAACTCGCACCGACCTCTTATCCCCACGCAATTGACAATATGTCTACTGGTCTGCCACCATTTTATCTATGCTAGGCTCTTAGCAGATTGGTAATCAATGCCCAAAGTATGCCAACATCTCTTGGCTTCCTTCTGTTTATGGTGGGAAACCAGTTAAGTTACACACACACACACACACACACACACACACACACTTAGGCCATGCACTGCTAAATTTCAGTCTGACCAAGTCATACTGACCTGGAATCCACATACACATCTAGGTATTCACAATTTCAGGATGTATGTGACCCTTTAAAAAGGCCTCTCAAAGTGGGGGGAAATGATTGTGGGAATGCATTTTAGCAAATCACAAGGAGATATAATTGCAGTTTTTTTTATTAAACAAAAATTCTCACAGGACAAATGTGGTGGAGAGGTGTGTCTTTCTGTGGCTTAACAGTCAAGAAAAGCTCAAATGTGCATGCCCAAGTATGTCCCAATGCTGTGTGTGGCCTGTGGCTCCCTCCTTTTGGAAGCTCTGTTGTTGCAGCTGATAGCCAATGCAGCATTTACTTGCTTATTGGGAAGCAATTGCTACTTGACTTGTCAACCGTCCTTCTCCCTTTGCTAAAGGAGGCTTACTGTGGGTTTATGTGTGCCATGGGTTCACCACCCCTGCTGACTGCTATCAGAAGTGGACTTCATGCTACAGAAGACTGGTGAGAAGAACCATGCAAGCTTTTGACTTTCATATAACCTTTCTTCCTGGTCAAGGTAAACTGCTTTCCCACTCTACACTAACCCAAGTTAGACAATGAAAGGGGGAAAAGAAACCCCAAACACACCCAAAATGTTTGATCTGATGTCTTAAGGTTTAAAACCCACGCTTGATGGCTAAATATACCCAGTTGCTTCAGCCTTTCCTTGTATGTGTATTGCAAACTCTGTATCATTTTAGTTGCTCCCTACTGAATCCTTTCCAGTTTGCTTGCATTCTTAAAATATGCTGACCTAAACTGGCCACTTTCCAGCTAGCCAGTGCTGAGCCGAGGACCAATTTTTACCTCCTGTGCCTTGAATCACATTATAGGCAAGTTCGTCCGAGAGGTGCTTCTGAGGAATAGGCTGACTAATCAGACAAATGACTAGGGGATGTCATTTGCCCACTGATAATTTGCCCATTCTGCCAAATCAAATACAATTTTGACTCAGTAAGTTCTCTTGCAAGGATGATGTGTCATCAGAAGACTTTTGCTTCTTGTTGACAAATGCTAAAGTTTAATCTGTCTTGGATGGGTAGCGAGGGTGTATTATCGACAGAGCTTCTTCCTTAGGAATGTTGGAAATGTTTCACTGTGGGTACTTTCTAACTCTTGAAGCAAGGGATGTGGTAAGACACTGACCTGGTTCACACATCACACTAAACCAAGCCATGGTGGTGTGCAGGCCTCAGGAAATGAGACTGAAGCCATTTTACTCCTTCCTGTTCATTCTGCTGTCGCACTATGCTAAACCATGGTTTGGCTTAGTTCTTCAACTGAGCCTGGGTTTGTGGTTTTGCTCTCTCCTGACTAACGACAACCTGTAACCAAGATTTGTCCTATGGTTTATGGCTTGTGGTTTATCCGGGAGAGCTACTTCACATTCTGGGGTTTGGATGGCACCCTAAGCCAACCTATGGCTTAGCTCAGGCTTCCTCAAACTTGCCCCTCTAGATGTTTTGAGACTACAATTCCCATAATCTCTGACCACTCATCCTGCTAGCTAGGGATCATGGGAGTTTTAGGCCAAAAACATCTAGAGGGCCAAGTTTGAGGAAGCCTGAGCTAAGCCATAGGTTGGCTTAGGGTGCCATCCAAACCCCATCCAAACCCCATTGACAAGGGCCATAAGTCAATGGAGATGAATGAGTAAAGAAGAAACATGATACAAGTTAGTATTACATGTAAATTTAGTTAGTCTTGCATTTTAGAATATTATTAGAATGTGGTCTTTCACACTTTAAGGTTGCAGTTCTAACCCCACTTACCTAGGAGTACATTTAATGGGACTTACTTCTGAGTAGTCATGGTTAGGATTGATGCCTTTCAGGGGAGTAAGGCTGAAATGAATCCCACTGTCTCAGTGGTGCTGACTTCTGAGTAGACATGTAAAGGATTGCACTATAAAATGCATGTAGAATTGCTAACCATAAGCATGTAAGTGACTCAATATATTTATTTATTTGAGAATAGCACTGATCATTGCTATTTGTCTAAGGGAATTCTATCAGCTGTATCTTAATGTGAGCAGGATGACTGGACTAGCTTCTGTGTGGCCTATATCACTTTGCCATTCCTACATTCATTAGTCTAGTCTCCCATTTCCACATTATTCTGTAACTCTTAAAAAAATCCACATGAAACTTTACATCTAGATACATATTTTTGAATATGCAATCTCAAAAAACACACATTTCTAAATGAACTTTTTCTAAAAATATGCATTTGAATACTTTTTCAGGTATGAACTATACAACAGAAAATTCAGAGAAGTGTGAAATCTTAAGGATAATTATGTTTCAATCTGCACATTACTCTGGGAGCTGCAGATCAGGTCAGTTTTGTATCAGAATTCACATAAACGGCATTCTTCCAGGATCCCACTTAACAACTCACTTCATTCTGGCCAAATGTCCTACTTTTCTATGTATTCTTTTATGATTCTTACCCTTTAAAAAGTTTTTATTTTTAAATCTGATCATGTGCACCTATGCACCCATTCATTGTTTCCACACCCCACCCCCAGCAAAGTTCTTGGCTACTTCAGAACCTAGTTTGCAGACTCTCTTCCCCACACCCCTGTGCAATTTACATCTCCCAACAAAAATGTGCAGTGTCAGTGGGGGATACACAGCTGGTGATATGCAAATCGACAAGAAGTGACAACCTGAGCCTTAAGCCCATTGTAGAAAATGAAAGAACAACCCGCTAAACATGAGAGGAGGAGGAGGATTACATATGGATGGCAGAAATGCAAAACGATGGGTGAGAAAAGAGAACAGGAAAAACAGGATAAGATCTGCAACAATGGGGCATTGCTCTGTGTAAGGAGTTTTGGGGAAAGCATAATTTTGCGCTCCGAGAGAGATGACACAAAAGCACATTTGGATTTCTTTTAGCTAACCATTTTTCAGTGCTACCCCCACTCCAGCATTGTTTTCTGTGCTTTGTTTTTCTTTTCTTACTCACAGCCAGCCATCAGACTATACCCCAAAGGTAAGGCATGCTGCTTTAAAACACATCCCATTATCTGGCTTAATTTGTGGTCTAAGTAGTTGGACTGTTCTTGGGACAATGTTTCCTCCCTCTCCCTCTCTCTGGCTCCTCTGGAGTGTTCATTATTATGTGGCTGCATGAAAAGCAGGCAATGAGGTGGGAGGCAAGGTCACAATAGTGGACCTGGGACTCTACAGCTTGCTCATTAAGGACAGGCATTTACAACAGCACACGCAGAGCCTCCCTTCCAGAGACAGACACTTTCAAAGCAGTAAGAGATGAATGACAAGGCCTCTTGAGCAATATGCACATCCAACAAAGGGGGCATCTTGAGCTCTGCAGGGAAAGCACTTTGTACTTTGGAGGAGTGTTATAGAAATAACCATCATAATGTTTATCGATCAATTGTGTTTAGGATTTTTAAAAAAACCTGCTCCATCCTAGTATCCACTAAAACGAAATCTGATACAAGATGAAAAGTACCCCACGCTGACTTAACTTCCTATCCCAGTCACTAGAAAGCGGACCGCATTTACAGCACGTCTGAAAGATGCTCAGGTTTCGATACTGGCAAGATTTTGGAGGGGGTTTCATTATGGTGGAGTAGCAAGCTTCTGTACGTGCAAATCTGGTGAAAGAGTGGTACTATCAAGACTCTTCATTGTTTTTTTCCTCTTAACAGGGCTATTAATCTTAGAGGTTGTATTAGAGCAGTGCAAGTCTATACGTATCTATGCAAAAGTAATTCATTGTGCTCAATGGGGCTTGCTACCAAGCGAGTAGGAGCAAAATTGCAGCCTTATAGTCAGACCTTATGTGTAAGTACTCACAAGCAAGTCCTGCAGAATTCAATGAGACTTACTCTCAAGTAGGCACACCTACTATCACAGACTTAGCAATGTTGGGGTTTTCAGATACAACATCAGAGTCCCTGGATGTGGACTTTGGTGCAACAAGAAAAATGATCCTTTGAGCTTATGCCTATTATGGCCACTCTCCATTTGTTCTCCAGCAAGCCAGGCACATGTGACAGGCTGGGATGCCAAGGCCATGCCAGCAACAGGGACAAGGTCCAGTTCTCTGCTGATGTGGGAAATCCACTGCTACAGCATCTCTGATAGCTGGCCATCCAGCCTTAAAAAGCTGTAATGAAGGAAAGTCCACTACCTTCCAAAACAGCCTGTCCCACTGTTAAACAGCTTACACCATCAGAATGTTCTTCAAAAAGTTTAATCAGAATCTTCTTTATTATAATTTGAGCCTATTGGTTTGGATCCCTTTCGAGAAACAGAAACCAAAACTGCTTCCTCGTCCATGCATGATGACCAAGAGTGAGAGCAAGTTCAGATAGTGAATTCAGAACTTCTGATCCATAGACATTCTTGCTAGGCTAGCCATCAGACCGCACAATCTTGCAAAGGCAAAAAGCTTCGTGCGAACAGGCTTTGCTTTGATCTCATTAATTTATTTACATCATTCCCATATATGAAGAGCAGCAACTTTTTTTTTAATGTGCAACCTTCCAAATGCTACACTTTAGTTCAGAGCCCAAAGCCACAAACCTTCTCCACAACCAGAAATGATTCAATGGGGAAGGGTTCCAGACAGCATCGTTGTAAGGTCACTCTGCTTACTGACTTCAGGCTATTCAATACAAATAGCTTTTCCAAGTTTATCTAAGGCTCCATCTTCTGTGTATTCTTACCAAGCCTCTCATCTAGAAACATTCTACCCCCTCAAGAAAGAAATGCGAAAGACGTGAGGTGCTTGAAGCTGGAGAGAGAAGGGAGTGGGAAAAATCTTTCAATTAAGGCCTATTATCTTCCCAGAATGTTTGGAAGTATGCTTATTTTACCCATGGTTGGATAAGTGATTCCTATGGCTTCAGGCACATTGTGAATTGCAGAAGATGACTGACAGAGACTGATAATTATAGTTAATGATGGCCTTAAAAGATATATATGTGTATATATATTTGTGTGTGTGGCTGGGTTGGGGGTTGGAGGGTATAATAAAATGAACTCATAATAATTACATACAGTAGAGAGGAAAAAAGTGGAATCTGGGAGAGTACTGCAGAAAGCCTGGACACTGGAGAATATAACAACAAAAACAAGAAAACCAGCTAGACAACAAACGTGTTAGGCCAAAAGGCACTTTAATCATGGGAGAAGGAGATAATGACCACACAAGGAAGCTGATCTGCTCTGAGACTGAATTGGGTCTGTTCTGTTCAGCCTTCCTGGCTGAGCTGGTGTGAAGCTGGTTTTGGAGTGTGTGTGTTGAAGAACTCCTTCATCATGGTGTTGGGGGAAGTTTAGCATTCACGCTGCAGCTTCCTGAGTCGTGGCAGTCATAGGGCTGTCTCAATACATAAAAGACTCAACTCATGTGGCAGGACATATTCTTGATCTGGTTTTTGCAACAAGGTTTAAAGGCAGTATCCCACTGGTGAGTCTGCTGTCCTGGACGAACCATTTCCTGGTGAGGTTTGGTTTGATAATGGCAGTATGCCTCTGCAGGGGTGGGGGAGCCATTAAGGCGGTCCATCTTTGGAGACTTATGGCAGTTTCCTGAATGCTCTCAGAGATTTTCTGACTGACATGGTTGCCACTCCTGTTGATGCTCTGATCTCACTATGGAATAGGAATATGGAAAGGACTCTTAACAGTATCACTCCTTGGGGCCTCTTCTGATTTTGTACTCTGGTATCCTTGGGAGCTGCAGGTAATGAAGCAAGAAGGATGATGGCTAGAGCACAGCTGGCATAAATCTTAGGAGGAATTTGACCAAACTCCACCTTTTCTGGACAAGGATAGGCTGGCTACAGTTCTGCTCTCATATACAACTTCCAAGCGCTAAATTCTGTGAAAATGTGTGCAAGTGCAGAATTTTAGAAGTTTTCACGTGAATTATAGCAAGCATTGGGATCTCTGGCCATTGGCTATGTTTGCTGGGGCTGATGGAAGTTGTAGTTCAACAACACCTGGGAGCCCAAGGTTCCCCCACACCTGAACTATAGCAATATTTGGTGCTCATCATCCCAAGTAAAAGAGTGACACCCAACTCTATTTAAGGAACTTGAAGAGATGTCAAACAGATGACTGTATCAATTTTGCATTTTTATCAGAACTCTTTGCTGGAACTCATAATCATCCTTTCCCCCATGTAAATATTCTGAATTTGCCCTCCATTCAAAGAGGAGACTTCAGGATATGCAGCCTTGCAGTGTATTCGCAAGGCAGGCCAACAAGAGCTGCTGTTGTAGTATTAGGCCCTGCAGAACTTCCCCTCCTGCTAAACTTTCAACAGCTAAAGGGTTAACTTTCAGTTAACACAATGGGAAAGGTTTCAAGTCCTTAAAGTGCAGGCCGATCCATAACCTTGTTCCTTGCTTTCCTCCTGAATCAACCCAATCCTATTTGACAGGAGGAATCTGTGAGAGTTAATGAAGCAGCGAAAGGCTAGGAGGATCTCAGAACAAAACTTCATCACAGCCAATCATGGAACAGATTATCCTTCGCCTGACTGCATTATGATGACATCATCCCATCGCCTCACTGCAAGCAGATCAGTCACCCATCCCTGTTATTTCCATTTCTAGGCAGTCCCTGGCTGGATTATTCATCGGCTAGCTTTTTAATCTTGACTCTGGTTGTAATGAACATCTGAAATGTCTTTAGAAGTGTCACTCATCATAGAGATCAGGTCTCTCAAAAAGGTGTGACTTCATCCCTTTTGTAAAGGTCCAAAGCATCTGGAAACAAAATTCAGACTGGCATGTTCACATGGGTCATTGCCTGCTAATCCAGAATGATTTTCTTATGATGGTCAAGGGGAACTGCTACAAAAAATATGAATGGGTAGCAGATGCAAACACCCCTGCTCGTTTTAGATCTGTTTTTGCTGAGCTGTGTTTCATTTTAAAGCAGGGCTTTGTGTTGGCCAAGACAGGCAACAACTTCTTCCTCCAAAAGTGGAAGAACCACCTCAACATTCACATTGGTTTTGCAAAAGTGACACTCCATTACGGCAACATGAAACATCCTGCAAAAAGATTGCCTTCTATAGTTTTTTAGGGTTTGTTAGCTTGTGATCATTTACCTCATCATTGCAGGTTATACGCTCAATCTGGTCTTCACTACAGTGTGGGCTGGGAGCCCTTCAAAAGGTGGGAATGGCCCCATTGTTATGGGCAGGTGGTCTGTTCATGGACCGCACCTGGTTAAGTTTGGATTGGCTGTGGTTGAGTCCCCTGCAATGGTAGGAGACCCATTAAAAATAGTCCACCCTTGGAGACATATGGAACTCAAGGGATTCCTGAGTACTCTGGGAGATGTTATGGCTGTCACTCCTGTCAATGCCCTTGTCTTGCTGTGGAACAGTGAGATGTGTAGTGCTATCAACATAATGATCCAGAGGACTCCTTGGCTTAAAGACATAATTGTGCCTACCATGTGGCAGTGGCAGCAGTCCTTGGTGAACCATCCAGTGGTTGCTGAGTGGTGAATGGGCTGTTGAGATCTAGCCCTGGAGAGGAAAAGCAGGTTACATTAATTCTGGAGGCAGATACAGCTAATTACTTAGAGGTGCACCACAATGGATATGTGAAACATTTTGAAGGTAAAGTTGCTCCCAACTTTCCATACTGGATGCCACAATTGTAGTGTTTAGAGCACCATCTGAAATAGTTTATGGGATCAGTTTCGGTTATTGTGGCCTGAGGGTGGTTGCAGTGGTTAGGCTGACCATCTGTTCTCTTGACGGTTGCCCATCTTGGCTTGTGACATATAGCAGGAAGGGATTCACTAGATATGTCCATGTGGCTCATTATGGGAGAGAGTGATCCCCACTGCTTTCAAAGAAGTGTTGGTGTGGTACCTCCTGAAGAAGATCAGTGCCTACCTCTTCTGTGCCAACCATAACACAGCTGTGCATCCTAGAGACACGAGCTAAGAGGTGATTCATTGATGTATGTACATTACTAGATGACTGTTCCTATTGATAACTTGCAGCTGAATATATGAATGGCTTCCATTGAAAAATATCATCTTTGAGGTGTTATGAAAGTTCTGTGGTAACTGATCTGCGATGGCTGTTTCATACATACAAGGCATGACTATCTTATATTCACTGAACGATGAGACTGCATATCTGAATTAACTCTTAGAACTGAAATTTCGAGGATGAGTGGCTTACATATGAAGGAACACCTTACGCAAATTTAATAACAAATGGGATGTACTTTCTGGATTGCTCTGAGTACTAAAGGGGTGGGGAACATTTTTCAGCCTGAAGGCAACATTCCCTTCCAGAAAACCATTTCTTTTATGGGGGGAGCACAAAACCATGGTGGGTGGGGCCATCAGTAAAATAAAGCAGAGAAACTGGTGTTAGTTTTACCTTTGTACAGTAGGCGTGTTTCTACACAAAAATTATTTCCCCAGGCAAGCAAGAAGAATGATCAGAACTCTAGAACACATTCTAACTCAAGTTAAGAGCAAACAGGGCCAGTGAGGGGTGTAGCTGAGGAAGGTGCCTTGGGAGACTCCTGAGGGCCAAATGTGGAGGTGTGGAGGGCTGCTTTGGGTCTCTGGGCCATGGGTTTCCCACCCCATGAACTACATCAATATTGCCCCCAAACCAGCATGTTGTGAAATTATCATTTGACTCCTTGATGCCATCCCATCCCATCCTCCCACCTATCTTGGTTATTAGCTTCCTACTTGCATATTAGAAGTATTAATTTGATCTAATGATTTGTGATGCATATTGTGAGTTGAAGTGGTAAGTTAGTTCAAGTCTCAAAATTAACAGAACATATTTGACACAACAACAGCACACAGCAAAGTTTATCAAAGTTATAAAGAAAATATGCAATTTAGGTATAAATTTGTAAGAGTTTTTATTTGTCATCATCAGCAATTATTGATTGCTGATGTCTGTTTTTGTGCAGATATGTATTTGTAATAAATACACCAAACCAAAATAGTTACAGAAACAATTTAAGCAGCATAGCTTTTCTTCTTTCTACACGACAAGCTATTGTTGCAAAATCTCCTGTTTCTACAATACTCTTAAAAGGTACAGGGGTCCTTCCCTCCTTTGCATCTTGTCACCCAACTTTAAATTACTACTAGGAGAGCCTAGCATTTTCAGCTCCTGTCTTGCTTAATGTCCTACTTTGACTTCCCAACACGCTCTTTCGGCATAGTGCCAGCCCATGTGATGCACCCCTCTCAGGGATTAAGCCCCTTTCCCAAACCTGCATGTACCTTCATTGCAACAAACCAGACCCTACCTGCCTAGTTGTGGACAGAGGGGAGGAAACCAACCTCTTCATAGCCCTTAATCAGCTGAGCTGGTCACAGCAGCAAATGTCCTTGCGGAGCTTGGGGAGCTGAATAATGAGAGTTCCTTCCAAAGGGGAAATTAATCAATTTGCTTGAGGTCATACTTTGAGGCTGGTGGCAGAGGGGAGTCTAAATGCTACTCTTCCCCATCTACCCTCCATATCCAATGATTTGCTTCTAAGCTTTAGAAGCCTGAGCCTCACCCTGAAGAGCTGGTCTATCACTTCCATTTGTTATTGCAGTGACTGCCTTATTCCATCTGATCTAATGGTTTATCTATTTGGAGGCAGCAGTAATTCTGTTGGAAGTTGCTGCACCCTCCCTGAAGAATTTTCCCAAAGGGGGCCACATGCAAAAAATCCCATGATAGCCAACATTTGAAAATAGGCCCATTGCTTATTTGGGGGGGCAGGGGGGCATAACTGCTGCAAAACTGTGTGCACTAGCAAAAACATGAGGGGTTGGATTTCACAATCCTTTGTCCTTACTTAAAGTAAAAGCAATATTCCAACATTCCATCATACTGCATTATTAAGTATATATTATCAGTAAAAGTATTTAGGGATGAACAGCAGGTTTACGATTCTAGTAAGTATTGCCTTAAGGTTATGTTTTCAGGAATTGGCTTTACAGTTAGTTCCTTGTTGAAATCTATTTTTAAGCTGTTTAGTCTGTCTTGGTTATTTTAACTTGCATGGGAGCAGAATTGTGCCTGGACTCTTGGTTGCACCAGACAATTCAGCTCTTGGCAAAACTGAGACTGGAATCTTAAGAACATTTAGTCTGCATAAAACGTTACTGAACTGAATGGAGCTTAATAAGCATAATTTGGATTGGGTTGCCATTTTACGTCAAGCTACCCTGGACAGAAGATGACTTTGCAAGGAGTTCTGTTTTGTCCCAGTAGTTTACCTCAATTTTCATGCTATATAGGTGAGATGGATTATCAAATATTGAGCAACTTTGTTCTCTCTACATCTGAAAATTAGGCTTCCTTTTAGAATAAACGTTTAAAGAAAATAGTTGACAATGAGTTATCAGTAGTTTTACTTAGAAACTCAAATAATTGCCACATTAACCTATCACATAGCATAGTCAAGTATTCTGTGTTAAATACATGAGCCCCCAAACCAGCCACTCTCTCACACTATGAAGCAGTTATGTCTTTGATGTGTGACTTTTCCACTCTTACTCAGGATAGTTTTGTATGTACACTTATTGTGTATATATTTTTTTGTATGTGTGATGTTAAACACATCCAAACAAATGTATATTTCAAGTAAATATATATTGTGATTTCTAATAGTGCACAATAAAGTAAAAGAGGAACTTTCAGGCTGCCCTGCTTGACAAAAAAAGAAAAGAAAAAAAAAAGAGTATTCTGAAACAGAGCTTGCTCCAATATATGACCTTTTTAAACTTGGGATTTCTTGTATTTCACACAGTATGAATGACCTCAACATGAATACTATAGGATCCAACTTAGTAGAGATAGCTAACTGGAAAACTCTTCAAAAATATGGCCATGCTGCTTTGATATGCCAGCATCTGCCTCCCTGAACAGCTAAATTACAAGATTCTAATGATCCAGAGTCATTTAATTAGCAGGCGGGAAAACTATCCAGCCCTCCATTAAAAGCCTGGCTGTGCATCTCTGAGATACTACTGTGCTCCCAGAAGGTTCTTGGGTTCTTCTGCAGTTGCAAACGTGCTTCCTTTATTTTGTGGGGTTCTCCAAGAAGCATTAAGGATTAGTGTGGGGATTAGTGTGACTTTGTTAAGAAGAGATTGCATAAAAAGCAATCACCTCCTTGCTCTTAAAGGAAGAGAGGGAGGAAGGGAGGAAGGGAGGAAGAGCATCCTCGTAGAATGGCTTTGTTCATTCAGTTGAACTTTTCACTTCTTTTGTCTGAGATATTAACTCCAAGGACTTAGCTAGATTGGTAAAGAAAAAGAGTTTTATATGCATTGTATATGTATGAAAGCACTGTGTCACTAGATGGCGCTGTGAAGTTCCATTTTTGCCAACACGATTTCTCATACAGTCGTACCACTTGTTACGTCAGTCTCCAGTTGCGTTTTTTCAGGATACGAACGAGGCCCTTTCACGTTTCGCTATGCGCACATGCGCAGAAGCATTCTATTGTGTCGCGTGTGTGCACAGAAGCGGTGCTCTAGTTGCGGACTTTTCAGGGTGTGAACAGCACCCTGGAACGGATTGAGTAGGTAACTAGAGGTACCACTGTATAAAGTTTACCATGTGTTTTCCAGAAACACTTCTCTGATGGGTCTAGATCCAGCCCAAGTCTCAACCACAGTCTGTCTGCATGACACTTTTTCCATGGGTTGGAGGTTATTAATCACATCCAAACTACAATATCACGAGCGGAGATGTGTTCCTCTACCATGGCAGACAAAGGTTGACCCAATGGAGGCCCCACTGCTTGCATGAGCCAATGTGAGCTTTCTGCATAGGGTTCCCATGTGCCACATGGTAAGACCTTTGGTTTGGTGCTGTCAAACCAGAAGGGCGTGAGTGAGGATGGCTCCTGAGATGGTTGCCTCAGGCAGTCTGATTTGGGGTGTGATGAAAGGGCAGCTAACAGTTAGTTATTTCAATTTATTTTTATTTTAGTTTTCCTGTCAGAAAGGAGAGGTGAGGCACTTGTGGGATTGTCTGCCTCAGGTGCCAAGATAACTTGGCTGACCTTGGGAACTATGCATGTTGACTTTTTCGTTGGTGGCAGGGAGGCTCCAATTGTTGCTCCGCCTCAGGTGGAAAAACGTCTTGGGCTGGCCCAGAAATGGAAGAGCTGCATGTGCAGGCATATCCTTGGATTGTCCTCAGCTGAGCTCCCAGTTGAAAAGAAAAACACCATGGCAGATGAGACAGAAATTATTTATGGCATCCAATCTGTGGGCGGCTGTGCAAGTACCTAGGTAAGATAGGTGTTTCTGTGGTGTTCCAAGGGCACCCATAGCTCATGTCCTAGCCTTGTGATGCAACTTGTGCTCCTTGATAATGGAAGCCGAGACTATACAAACCAAAGGGAGTGTTTTATGTTGAAATTTCAGGAAGAAAAATATTGAACTCAGTTCTAGCCCACTTGCTTCAGAAACAAATGTATATTCTCTAAAGAATAGGTACGTATATGCTCTATAGAACTGCAAGCTGCTGCCTGTAGTTCCACTCTCTTCAAACGTGCTTTAGCTGGAAACCTATTTTCAAAGCTAAATAGGAATGACCAACACTCTACAATAGATTCCTAGCAAACATGTTTGGATTTTGCCATATCTCTTGAGATGCGCTACGGAATCATTTTACTGGAATGTCAATAAAGTCAGGAGTATAAACATAAATAACAAGAAAATTTAGGGAAGTCTGTTAGGACAAATGTAAGAGGGTCCATGAAACAGGCTTCCCCCATGAGAGAAATGGGGGGGAAAGCTGCGGCAACTTTCTTTCAGGACTCTGATTTGCACAAGTGTTTACAGATACAAGGCACTTGCAGGCATCAGCTGTCATTTACAGAATCTGGATTCTTATGCCCCTCAAAATCTTGAGAATATTTACTTTAATTTTAAAGCAAACAAGGTTTCTAATCCTCATCGCTGTTGAGAAAACCATAAAGGCAATGCCTAGTCAATATTTTGAGGTCACATGTAGCTTCCCAGTGGCTAGCCTCTCCTTCCTTTACTTATTTCTATATCCTTCCATGTGAGCCTGCCTTCAAAAAAGAATTTACCCACCAGTGTTCCCAGGCCAGCATCTTATGCAAAATTACATAGATTTATACATAATTTAATCAAATTTATGGATGCAGAATGAGTGGTGGTTAGTTGAGGATTCTGGAGCCAATGATCAGGCTGTCTCTTGCTATGCACAATTCTCATGCATTCAAATCCCTGAATGCAAGACCGGGAGCCTGAGCAGGCAGCAAGGCGCTCTTGGCTTGTGCTAAAATCACTTCCTATTTAAAATGATCAGTTTAAAAAGACAAATATAGAAACATCCCGCAGCGTGGGAGCTCCTTTCCCTCAGTGTGCAGCTGCCTTTACATGCTTGCTGGGATCTCATTCCTATTTGCTTGCAGTAAAAGAGAGAATTTATAGGCAGGCGATTCTGCTTTTAAACTGTTCCTGGCAGCACTTCGTTCTTTTATCGTCTGTAAATACTTCTGATTTCCTTATGGAAACGCACCCCAGAGAGACCATGACGAGGTCCCTTGCTTTAGCCCTGGCTCCTGCCCAGCCTTGTGTGACTGGCCTTGCACGCTGATACATACATCTGAGTCACTGTCCTTTTCCAGGGCTGCAGTAGAAGATTTTCAACTTCATCAGGGTCAGAACAGTGGAGGGATTTCCTGCACCCACATAACTTAATCAGGAAGAGTACTCTTGGGGGAAATAAGTTATTTATCCCCCCCACCCCAATATCAACATCTCCTCAATGTCCGGAAATGTTAAGGAAGTCTCTTTTGATACACTCAGCAGTTCTAAGAATCTAGGCCATTAGCAACAGTTCATGTCTTAAGCATGCTGCCTTTAAGACTCCCTGACCTTGGTTAAACAGGAAGGCCTCTGCTGTGAGAGATATGGGACCTGATTCAGCTAAAGGTATGACTAGCTTAAATTCCATTGCCTTCAGCAATACTAAGTCATGACAATGCCAGGATCAGGACCATGATTTTTAACCCAGGATATGCCACTCATTTCTTCCTATGCCCATGCTGGCTTTTTCCTGACTAGGGAAAAGAAGACTTCTGTCCTCCAGAATGATGAAGATATTGAATATCCAAACAGTCATACTGGACAGCAGACAATATTCAACTAGTAGTAGCTAGTTAGTGTTCATTTATGAAAGTTCAATGCTTCTCACACATTGTGGGCTACACTACAGTTCAGATTGTAGATGATAGAGAGTTAGAAACCTGGTCAGTTTTGATCACTTTTTCTGCAGAACACCACTGGAAAAATCAATTGGCCAGAATCCCTTGCACATACTATGCGTAAGTTGCATAGAGTGGAAGCAAATTCATGTAGTGCTCTGATCAAACTTTCAGATCCTCTCTGTCCTCTGTCTATATCCAACTCTCCCCACCCCCCCTTGCACCCTCCCCAAATCTGCTCCAGAGGGTTGGGGGGAAACCCAGAGCAAATTTAGGGGGCGCATGGGGCAGAAAAAGGGGAGAAAGTCCCATTGCACAAGTGGAAATCCTTATGCTGATTGCAGGGCTGGCCCACCCATAAGGCACAGTGAGATGACTGCCTCAGGCGGCAGGATTCACTGAGACAGCATATCCTAATGCTGTTCTTTCCTCCACCCTAGTTCCTGATGTAGACCCTCCCTCCCTCTTTCTTCCCTGGAGGGGAGGCAGATGCCATTTTGGGCAGTGACTGATGGGGCACTTACTTACAGCTGCATTGGATACAAGCCATGAATTCCAAATCTGACCTCAAGTTTCATTTCTGAAATTTGACTGTTGCATGCCAAGAAAGAGAAAAATATCCAAATTTTGGTTTCTGAAACATCACCAGATTTCACTATTTGTAAAATGCCATTTCAGCTCTAAGGTGGTTCAGTTCTTAGACAAAGATAGCTTCTCTAGTGATAACTGTGATGTTTTAACTATGTGTAGTGGGCTGTAAGAGATGACACTGCCACTGTTATCTTTCTTGTCACCACCAGGGACACCTGTGTTAGGTTGCAAACCTGTATTCATGCAGGCTCCCTGTCTATTTTAGAATCCTGGTTTTCCAGAGTTCTAAAATGTCCAGTAGAAGAGTGGTCACTGACTGTGCCCAGTACTTCATTAATAGTGACAGTGTGGGCATGCATGCTTACCCATCGTTCAGAGAAGCTAGCATTTTGGCTTGTTACATGTTTGCGCAGTGCTCTATTAGTTCTGCACATGCATGCCATCCGTGTACAAACTTTAGAGAAATGTCAAAGCAGTAGCAGCAGTGGTTGAAGCAGCCAGATGCATACCTGTTAAGTAACATTTTCAGGTCTCCCCACTAGGACCATGACAGTGCATCCAAAATGTGCAGAATTCCTGCAGACCTTTGATTGCATGGGGACACACAAACACATACACACAAGTATTGCAAATGTGGGTCATTCACATGACTATCTGAAGTCTCAAAATGGATTTGTTGCATTTTTAACTAAAGAAGCTTATGCAACCATTGCTCCTCCAAGCCAGTGGACTGTTAGATGCTGCTTAGGGAATACCCAGATTTGGCTGGCAAATATGCCAGCTAATGGAATTAGCTGCTCCTTCTCAGAACAGCCCTCATTCTGCATGGGAACAGCAGCAGAAAGATACACTCTTGCTTACAGAAGGGCTCATTTATCCTGACTGGCAGCCCCTGGGATTAGATGCATGTCATCATTGGCGGGATGAAAATAACTCCAGCCCCATAATGCCTGGAGTCAAACAGAAATAGTTACAATAAAAATAAAGTAATATGGACCCTGTTTTGTGTATTGTAATTGAGAAGCCTCATGAATGCTTGCAACATGTAACTAACTGGGTTCCTTAATGGCAAACTAACACTCTGCATGGCAAATCAGCCTCTTCCTTTAATCTGGGTAGGTAAAAACGGGTTACCATTCTCAAAATGGCAACATAAAATCATAGAATTGTAGACTTGATAGGCACCCCTATCAACTTAAATCTTCAGGTTGCTACTTTAAATTGGGAAGGCTTAAGATGCCTTCTTATCACTTTACCTGCTGTACATTTTAATGATGAGATCATGCCACATAAAATGAATTGCTGACATTGTAAAGAGGGTTGCATAGCCCTTAAACAACAGCCTGGATGCCCACTGTACTGCTATTTTATACAGCATGTGAGCTCAGTATTCAACACGTTGCAGTGTCAATGATCCAAAACACAGTCCCTTCTGTGTGCCAAGAAGTGATGGGGAGCCTAGGTCTGAGAACAGGAACCAAATGTGACCATCCTGCTCTAGTGACCACTTCTAAAATTAGACTATGGGTGTTGCAAAACCCATTTCTGATTTGGTGAGAAGACCGTCACGAAACAGGAAATCCATGTGGTCAAAGCTACTTTAGGCAGCTTGGACTGGAACAGTCATGGAAGACTACTGGACATGAAAGATATGCTGAGATTGACAATGTCTCCTGGGATTTTACCTTTAAAGTTTTGGAATATATGAGCTGTGGAGACACTTTTATAAAAGGAGTCTGGGCAATATATACTGAAGAGTCAGCTAAATTGATAGTAAATAATGTATTGACTGAGAATTGCAAAATAACTAAAGGAATGAGACAAGGCTGCCTGTTGTCACCCTTGTTGTAAGATGTAATCAAGAAATTAAAGGTATAAGAGTGAGACAGAGACCATATAAATTAAAAGCATTTGCAGACGACGTGGTGATATCTGTAGAAGAACCAATAGAGTCAATCCCAAAAGTATTACAAGAGATTTAAAAAAATTGGAGATGTAGCAGGTCTTAAGATTAATAAAGACAAAACCAAACTCTTGGTAAAAAATATGAATGATGAGAGTAAAAACAAATTACAAGATATGTCAGGTCTAAAGATTGAAAGGAAAGTCAAGTATCTAGGTATATGGTTAAGAGCAAATAATATAAATTTGTACATAGATAATTATTTAAAATACTGGGAAGATATTAAAAGAAATTTGCAAATTTGGGACAGAATGAAACTTTCACTGTTAGGTAGAGTGTTGACTATAAAAATGAATGTATTACCAAGAATGTTGTTTTTGTTTCTCTCAAGTCCGGTGATTGGCAAGACAGATTGTTTCAATACATGGCATAAAGATATTTCTAAATATATCTGGCAAGGGGAAAAACCTGAGAATAAAATATGAAATACTGATAAATGCAAAAAAGAGAGGAGATTTCTCCCTTCTGAATATGAGATTATATTATGAAGCATCTTCTCTTTGTTGGTTGAAGGAATGGATGACATTGGAGAATCCACATATTTTAGATTTATAAGGTCATAGTAATATTTTTGGTTGGCACGTCTATTTGTGGTATGAAAAGGTGAAAATACAGAAAGGATTTACAAATCACATAATTCGGAAAAAATTGTATAAAATATGGGATAAATACCAAAAGTTATTGGAGAAAGAAACACCACTTTGGCTCTCACTGCTGGAAGCCATAGTGGTAATGAAAAAGAATATGATAGAAGATTGGACAGCTTATAGAAATTTATTAAAACAAGTGGGAGGAGAGTTTAAATTAAAAGAATTTAAGGATTTATCAGGAAAGTTAACATGGATACAATATCATTATTTGAATGAAGTACCGCTGTATCTGCTGCCCTGCTTCACATAGTGGCCGGGGTGGATCTGATCCTGTCAGCTGATGTCAATGAGACTGACTTAGGTTGGCACAGCTCTGGGGCTGGAAAGCCCATTGGGGGCTGTGCACTGGCTGCAGCTGGTGGAGATCCAAGTGACAGCACTTCCACTCACTTGCATGTTTGGTTGGTAGAAGCGAGGGACAGTCAATTCCACTGGAGTGGTACTGGGATCTCCACAGCCAGTGAAAGGCCAATGGAGACTGGCAGGGCTGGGCAGAGAGGACACTTCTGCCCAATCCAAACTACAAGGCAAAGGGTGGTGGTGGTTAGATTGCTCTTCCAGTCTGCAAATGCCTAGAAAAATGTGATTGTCCAGCAATGTGTTATAGATCAGAAGCTGCAGGGCTGAAGTGCAGGCTGCATACTCCATGACACATTTTATATATTTACGGTATGTTTCCCCCCCATCTAATTGTGTGCATATCTGTCTACTCACCTCTCTAGTTGTATCCCCCCCCCAACTTTCCAAACACCATCCTCTTTTGGAAAAACCACAGATTATAGGATTTTGCTTTACCTGGTAAATTAGCTGTGTTTATCGGACGTACAAAGCTGACTGATTTTTTTTTTAATAATGACCGCTCCCCGCTTAAAACGGGGGGCGCCCTTTGCGTGGACGCGCGCAGCCCCTAGATCTGGAGCGGCTCCAACAGCATAGGCTTGGTTTGCCTTCCCTCAGGTGGGATACCTGGAGGTCTCCGCCTACCTCAGTCAGTTGTCCAATCCCACCTGGGGGGAAGCGTTGCCAAGGAGACCAGGCCAGGTCGGGGAGGGATTACCTGCCCACACAATAGAGGGAGGATCTTACCTGGGAATCCTCACTTGGCTCCAGAGCTTCTCCCACCCTACCCACCCTCAGTTAATGTCTTTTTTGCAGGTTAACTTTTCTTCGCAGGTATGCGGGCGCTGCTACGTTAAGGTCGCTGTTAAAGGGCCGGAAAGGAATTTCCCTGCATTGGCAGGTTTCGCCTTTCCCGTAGCAAAACGTCACAACTTTGGCGGTATCAGGCCTTGGGCGGAATCCTTTAGTCCATCTTCCTCTTTGCGGCGGCGATACCAGGGTTCCCTGTTAAAGGGGTTTCTGAAGGGAGGCTTTGACCGTACGCCGAAGGTCGTCATTGCTCTCCCCTGCGGCGGCGGCGTAACGGGGGCGGCTATCTCTGCTTGAACATATGTTCTCCAGAGCCGGCCCATCCCCCCCCCACTGGATAACCCTGATGCTCCCTAGGTCCCCGGCTGGGGACTGGGGAGGAGAACGCCCAATGCCTGAGCCAAGGTCTACCCACATTTGAAATTTAATAAAGTTGTGGCCAATTTAATCCCATAGCACGTTGTCATGAGTCGTTATTCCACATGACGGGGGGACCGCGCGGGATCTGGGGACTCCGCCTGTCCACGCAAAACTAGACTCACACGCATAATGCCCAGAAGTGACTAAAGATTATAAAGGGAGGATGCATGTATCTATCTATCAGAAACAAGTTACAACAGGCAAAAACTCAAAAAGCACATTGCATTGGCGTAGCAATATTTTAGGGGGGAAACCATTAAGGCAGTAGTTCCCAAACAGTAGTTCCCATGAAAACTGTTGAGGGTCTTGGCAGACCACTTAATTATTATTTTTCTGCTTGTTGTGGCAATTGTAATGCCCTCTTTTACCTGATAGCTCTCAACAAGCACTCATATTGAGAACGTGAAGGATTTTGAGAAGGAGACTTTTTTTCCAGGGGTGGGGCATTATTACAACTGCTCAGCAGGTAAGAAGGTGTAAAACCGATAAAGATTTTCAGGCTGATGTTTACTTGGAAGTAAGTGCCATATAGAACACAGGCTTCCTTTTGAGTAAAGGCCCATGGAACCCAGCTTCTAAGGTGGCAGTCTTATGCACATCTACCATTGATCTATGTGAGGCTTACCTCTGAGTAAATATGCATGGAATCAGCCGATATGTGCACAACTACATGTGACAGTAAAAAGCCTGCATTTCCCACGTTAATGCAAAAGCTATGTTGGACAGAATGAGCAAACAATTAAAAATTAGCTCTCTCTGTGTCCCTGTCCCTATCCCAATTAATATTCACACATCCATGCAAACAGTGTGTGGGAGGTTAAAAGGCACTTTTAATGTTATGTGAAAATGGCCTAAGACAAAAACAGAAAAGCCTAACTTTAAGGTACCTTCATTTGTTGTCTGAGTGAAGTGAAGCCTTTGTTTCATTTGCTGATTTTGGCACTGCATTTGTTTCTAAGGCTGTGTACACACTTCAGCCTTTGAAGCTGTGTGGCTTGCGGGTTTTCTAAAAGCACTTTTGTAGACATCGCTTTGCAAGTGTCCATACCTGCACTCTGAGCAGACAGCATTTGTATTTGTTAAATCATTGCCATATGTGCACTCCCCAAGAGCAGGTTCCCAGAGAAGGCACTCTCAGTTTCCACATGAGGCAAGAGGAATGCATTGTGAAATGTAAGGAGGCTTTTAACTGTTCCATTGAATGGTGCTTTCAAAACACCAAAAAGGAAGCGTGCAGAGAATTCCTATTTCTATTAACATATATGAAAATTCACAATGCAATATCTGCTTTGAAGATGGGAGTTATCAGAAGGAAAGCTGATGTGGCTGATCTGAACGTTATTCTTCGGTTCACATTGCACCCTCAGTGTCGATGGGCACACCTACTGCACCTCCAACCTTCCCACAAAAGTCTGAAGCCTCCTCAAAATATTAGCAAAATACTGCTTTGGAGAAAGAGTGCTAGTGCTCTAACTATAATGCCAATAAATAACACCTTTCTGTTCACCATCGTTTTAGCAACATGTTTGTCTCCCCCAGTTAAATACTTTCAGTCTACACTTCTGATCCATCTTATGTATTTTGGGTGGTATTCAACTGAACACCAAGTTAACCTCCGCAGCTGTTCTATTGTGGGGAGAGATACAAAAAAACTTTGCCATTTGATATCTGAAGGGAGACCCCTTAAAACACTCTGCTCATTTACTTTCTTTCAACCATGTATCCATCCCTCGATGGAAAGAAAGGGCTTGCTATCCCGTTATAGACAAAGAAAGGGCTTGCTATTCCATTATGGCCAACAGTTGCCAACAGACAAGGTGCAATGAGTGTTTCTTCCATACTGGAGGAAGACATAGAAATTACAGGTGCAACAGGCAGGAGGCTTTGGGACACCATTACATAGCCTCGTAACTCCCGATTCTCTGACTCTGAACTAAGGTTGGGGGAGGATTTTGATTCACTCTGCAATTTGGAGCACATCTCCCCAGCCCACATCTGATGAACTGATAAGTATCAGATGGGGGGAAGTAAGCACGTGGATCAGATTGAATGTCTATAGACCCTTCTGATCACAGTCCATTCCTTCCTACCTTAAAAAAAATCAAAACCCACCTTATGGGGAAAGCCATATTTTCCTCCATACAATTACCCAAGAACTGGCAGCACATTGTAACCCATGCCTTATATTAAAGATCTGCAGCAAGTGCAGCAAGCACATCACTTTCTAACTGGTCCAAGCAGTTTTTAGGAAAGAGAGAGAGAGAGAGAGAGAGAGAGAGAGAGAGAGAGAGAATCCATATACCACATCCTAAGTTGTTTTTAAATGTATTTATGAAAAATGTCTGCATTTATTTAAGGATTTCCCCTGGAAATGGACTTAGTCCTGTCCCCTCTTGGCACTGGGACTGACCAGACTTCAGTGGATCAATCCAATCCTACGCTGAATATATCTGTTGCAACACCCCACCCTATGCTTAAGTTACTGAACAAGTGACAGTATGGATGGAGCATTCTATGCACAGATGAGCTACTTCTCCTCTGCATTGTTCCAATTTTTAGTGTATGTACTGCCAGAGCAAGCACTCACAGATGAGCTATTTCTAATCTTACAAGAGACTAGTAGCACTTGCCCCTGCCCCACCTTACTGGATTTTCTTCCTTCACTATACCTTCCTTTTCTACTGAGCCTTTGGGGGAAAGAATCAGCTGTCTAGCCAATGGGGTTAGCACAAATGACTCCAGTATAACTTACAAAGAACCACTCACATAAACAGTTTGATAGAATGTTATCCCTTTCCCTGGAGGGCCTTCCACACCCTGGGCAGTGACACCCAGTTCTCACTTTCTTATTCATTAACTGCTCATAAAGCAGTCTGGAGATGAAAGTGCAATGTGGGTGCTAATCACTACTAACAACCAATAATTTAACCTCCCGAGGCTCCCTTGCAGCATTTTCCCAGGGGAGGGGAAGGCAGCCTAACAGTCACAGCAGGGGCTATTACCACCCACTGGTTGTGTAATAGGGAAACAATGAGATGGAAACAGAACTTTCACAGAAAGCTGCCTACATAACAAAGTTATCTAGAAGTGCCAATCTAGAGTTCTCAGATTTAGTACATTTTGAACAGGTTTTTTTTTTTTAAATGACAACTGTTCAGCTAGCAAAGGGTCACAGGCTGTTGTAATGGCTAAAAAAAATTGAGGTCTGTATTCCGGGATTGTTCTGGTGTTTCACATTCATAGGCTGCAAATTTGCTGTGTTTCTGCACTTGTGTGTGGAATAAGTATTCCGGAATGGATGATCCCTGTAATTTGGAGATAAGAGAACTGTGGACAGATCTCCAGAAAGGTTACAGGATCATCTTAGGGTCAACTCTCCCGCAACTATGCATATGCAATATTGCTTTTCAAAATGCATTTCATGGGTGTTAAAGCCAAATGCAACTTGCCATTTGCTTTCAGAATTTAACAGAGTTCCCAACATTTTAGCTACCAGGCAAATTGATGGTGTTTTCCCCTTTGGGTGCTTCAGTGGAGTATCTTCTCTAAAAAGGACTGAAAGGTGGAAGAGTTTAATGTGGGCAATCTTTATCCATCCATTTCTTGCTGAATTTACTTGCACTCTTGCCTTGTGAACCTGCCTGCCCATTTGTCGTTGGCATCAATCTGTCTCGAAAGAGAAGTCCTACCTGCCCCTCACTTCCCTTTACAGAATGTGCAGAAACCACCTTGACTGCTGGACCCACTGTTGGTCTTGTCTGCTCAGTCCACCGGAGCCTTACGTGCAGGGGGAGTCCATAACTCACCAAGGGCTTGAGACCCATTGGCTAACCTCACCTAGTTGACCAGTCGAGGCCGTTCCTGGGGTGGGGCCACTGCCACATGCTGACAGTTTCTAGGAGCCACAGGTGAGAGCTGAGTTCAGGGTGCGGACCAAAGATGGGCAGACATACCCCAGAAGGAGCATGACATGTCCCAGAACAGAGGTACTACCCTTCCCATAAGACCCCATATACCCCACCCATTTAAAACTTTGGATATTCTCTATTATAAGATCAATTTCGCTAGAAGACTAAACCAATGAGGATAGACACTAGAGCAGGAACTTCTTGCTTGTGGCAATTCTACTATGCAACTTCTTTCCATGAAAACCAACTCATCAACAACAACCTCACCTGAGCACAATACTAAAATTGTAAAGGGGAAAAAATAGAAACATTTTTTATTGTAGGCTTTTGGGGGACTCTTTTGCCTTAAAAATACCGTTGATGAGTTTTTAGTGGAGTGATTTTTTTTAGATAATTGTTTTTCTTATATTTATGCTTTGTATGCCAATGCTTTGTATGCCATTTTAGGCCTCCTGAATAGGAAAAAGAGAATGGGATACAATTTTAAGTCTCATAACTATCTTAGTAGCTCTGTGTTTTTACACAGAGTTGGGACATTTGGCACCTACTAATAGGTTAATCTAAGAGTGGGGAATGTTGGACTCCAACTCCCATCAGCCCCAGCCAGCATGGCCCTTGGTCAGGGATGGTGGGAGTTGTATTCCAACAACATCTGGAAGATACTTGTAAATAAACGAAAATATTACAAAATCCCACTAACCTTCCAGTGAACTATTTCTAAACTGGATCAAAATTGGGCAGATGCTACACTTCTGCAATGAAGTGAAATGAGCCTGACAATATATTTTTCTGAGAATCACTATGGAAATGATAGGGGTAGGACTGCCTTCTGAGTGTTGCATTTGGCACTACTGGTTTGCAAGATCTCCAGTAGCTCAGGGAATACTTGGCAGAATTAAATACATGCTGTCCACTGGCCTGTGTTTGAGGGTCACTCCCCAAGTTTTTCCTTTTTGTTTATTTGCAAGACGTTTCTTCTATTACCAAAGTCTGCAGGGGTTCCGTGGCATGACAATCATTTCCACAGGTTTACAGCCCTCCATATTATTCTTAGGAAGACATGCTGCCCCCCCCCTCTCTCTCTCTCTCGGCAATATATGTGGAGTCAGAGCAATGGAAAGAGGGTTGTGGAGCAACCTAAAACAACTGCTCCTTTTGTGTGTTGTAGAGCCCAGTTCTTTGGAAAACACACATTTGTTTCTTGTTGGGCAAGCTTGACAGCTGCTGACCCTTAGCTCAAAGGGTTTCCCATGCAAATAAGCCGTGTTTGCAAACTCATGGGTATTAGCACTGCTTAGCTGATGGCTCAGAGGGCCTGTAATCCTTGCATCTATGACACAGAAGCCCCTAATTGAGCTTTGCTGAGTAGGGTGAGTTAAGGCAAAGAGATAACTAGAATCATCATAAATGCTCAAGCATCCCAACCAAACAATGGAGACAGCCAGGTGAAGCAGAAATGTTGGTTGCTGGAGCTGTCGTGCTGAGGGCAGCAGCTGCTGCTGTTTTCTATTTTGTTCCTGCCCAAGTCTGTACAAGTACTGCTCTTTAGGTGTGTGCATAGTTTGGAAACAGCACTGGTTAATTGTGCAATGGCGAAAACTACTCAAACTATGCTCAGATCCACCTGACAGAAGAGAAAGCAGGCTGTGGGATAAGTAAAGGGGAAGGAGCCATGCTGTCACAGTAGCCATTCCAGATGCTTATTTTCCCATTTGGACACTTAAATTTTGCAATAAAAACCATTTAATATTATGCTAATATATACTGCCCACTCCCAGTACTCCTGTTGTTCCACAACATAAAATGGTAGCTCTAAGAAGGAGAAGAAGGTGACAATGGGTTTCTGGCACCACAGTTTTACTTACCAAGTACGATGGTCAAGTCTTGGGGAAACACACACCAACACAAACACCCCCCCCCGGTTCATTATCATTATCTTATAAAACACTAGGAATAGCTTATGTAACATGCCGCTCATCTTGTCCCCTGATCCTATTTCTGGGTTTCTTAGGTTCTTAGGGCATGCCATGAAGAGTTTTTAAAATTCTTCCCTCTGCTTTTATTTTTAACCAAATCAGTGTGGATAGACTGTGCCCAAGTGGTGGAAGGGCAGGTTGCTTGAGGGGAGGCTGCTTAATCCCCTCAACTAGGCATTTTCCAGATCATCTTTTTCATCCATATGTGTGTTTTAGGAGTTGGGGAGATACAGGAAAGCTATGGAGATTCTGTTTTTTGCTTCCTGTTCCTGGTGGAAAAAAAATCTCAGGGGATGGGGAGCTGGGGTGGTGGTGCTGCTGATGATTACTAAGCTGAAAAATAGGACCAAAGAGGAAATATGAAGCAGCCACGCTCTCTTTTCACCCTTCTACTACATGATGCCCAATCCTCTGAATGAAGTTGCATGCAATTCAATGAGACTTTCTCCCAATGAATGTATAGAGGCTCGAGGAAAGGTTAGAGCTGGAGCCTGCCCAGGTTGCTCTGTTTTAAGAAAGCACTTTTGCTGTATGACCTGGATCAAGATCTCTGGCTGCAGCAGGATAGTCAACTGGTGCTCAGGTGCAAGTCAGAGTCCCCTATTTTTCCATACAAGAGAATAAGCAAGCATGCTTCTCTCCCTCCTTTTCACAGAGGCTCTTCTATTCTATTTGGGCAGGAGCTGTGTATTCGGCCGCCATCTTGCTCTTTCCCGAACTGTTTTAACAAGCATTCTGAATCCTATGTTTCAGCTATTCTTGCTGTTCCCCCTGAGGGCATTTCCAAGTGGTGACCACCCTACACTAAGCTTGGAAGGGGTTGGGGGAGGGGGGGAGCAAGCAGAATCTTAGGTAGGGGAAAGGCAACTATGGGCAGCCTGGATTCTATTTTATCTTTCCTAGGGTTGCCTGATGATACAGGACTGGCCCTTTTGTGCTTTTAATAGTTGTGTGGGAGAGGAGATGTTCAGCAGTTGGAACTTTTCCTTCCATGGCACTGTGGTGGGAGGAGATGGCCTCCTTGCTGGAAAGCTCCCCTCCTACACAACTATTAGGTTGAATCCAGACAGCTGCTTCCAGCAGTAACTGTAGCACTAAACTAGAAAGGTGGGGTGAGTGGGGAAGGAAAAATACCTCAAGGACAAAACAGGGACTAATTTGTGTGGGCAAACAACTCACTGAGAGGAGGGCTGCGGAGGCTCCTGTCTTAGAGTCTGGACACAGTTCTGAAGAGGCCACAGAACTGGAATGCTCTGAAATGGAAACAATCATCCTATTGCTGTTTTACCTTGAATGTTATTGTTCCTAATTTTATAAACTGCCCTGGAATCTTACAACGAAGGGCAGCATATATATTTTACTTTTAAAAATAGACATACAAACACACAATACAAAATTTACTATGCACAACTATCCTATATGCCACCAATAGCATATAATATATCCATATTATGTTGAATTATTGCTATTTCAGTAGTGAGAACTCTAAATCAAAACTTTGCTTCATATAACTTATGAAGGAGAACCATAAACTTTCAAGCTGTTCATGTCTTTTTTTCTCCCCTCCCTTATTTTCAGCACAGCTCACGGATATGCAGCTTGTGAGTTCCATCATGAAGCCCTCCATCTGGAAGCACCCTGGAAAGGCCAGTCCTCTACTGAATCTGGCAACTCTTGTTTTTGCACAGCATATGCCTTCCCTCACTTGGAATGTACCCCAGGACTGTCTACCATATGGAGAGTTGGGAGGTCCACACTAGTTCATGGGCACTCAAAAAGCTCTCTGTGCAGCCATGACATTTCTTCGCATTGCTCAGCTCAACCTAACGTTGGTTTGGATGCTTGGAACTTCACCTAATCCCGTGTTTCTACCTTTCCCTTCCCAACTAGATTCCGCAGTCCAGGTTGCCAGGTTCTTAACCAGGGTATATATCTTGCATGGTTTATATGTTCCAGGGCACCAAGCTCACCTCCAGGCTGCCACGATTTTGCAGGAGGGATTAGATTGCATACCAGAAATTCAGGTTTGCACAATTAAAGTCCTGTTGTTCTGGAGGAACAATACATTTTTAAAAATTGACTTTTTGGAGTTAAGAAAGTGAGGGGAAAATGCAATAAAAAGTGTGTGTTAATGGTGGATTGACTGGAAGATATATTACTTTCCTGCAAATAAATCAGGATGGAGGCTCAATGAAGAGAGGGGGACGTATAACCTCTGCATAAGCTTTGCACACGCAAACCAGGATGAATGCTCAGTAAAGAAGACTGCCTGAAAGAGCCCCCAATGAAGCTGCAGCCGCTGCACCCTTCTGCATTGGTCCACTTGTTATCTCAGCCCGCAAGGGCAAGTAGAGGAACGGAGGAAGAGGCACAGTGGCTGCAGCTTCACCAGAGCACTTAAAAACCTGAGCTCTGCTGTGTGCGGCATCTGAGTCGCACGCAAGGTGTAACTTTACACATAAAGGAAGTAATATTAAAAATGAACAATAATAATGTGTATGTACTAATATTTTATACCAGTTTTATGTAAGCTGCTTAGAGATTGGGCGCCTTCCAGACGGTCATAATTTTGTGGGAGGGACTGAAGCACACACACTGGCATTGTTTGGTTTGCACAACCCTGGCACAAAAAATCCACTTTTAAGAAAGATACAGGAAAGCAACAAGGGAATGCACGGCAATGTGTGGGGTTCACACAACACCCTGCAAACAAATTGGGATGGATGCTCATTATTGGTTTTGTTTGCAGGGAGGTTAAACAACAAAGACCAGGTGCAATCTAACCTCCATTAAAATCAGGATAAATGCTCAATAAATAGGTCACGAGGAGGAGCTCTTTTATCATCATCATCATCATCATCATCATCATCAAGTAGTATATAAAACTTGCTAAATAATTATAATGATAATAATAAAAATCTCAAAGAGATGTTCTATCACTCAGTCTGTGTTTCTCTCCAAAGAAAGCACCTCCCCTCCCCTGCAGCACTCCTTCCACGTGGCTCATAGTGCACCACACAAGTCCCACTTTGAGGCCGAGGACTGAAACCTGGCATTGCTGCAAGACACCAGATCACAAGCCAAACTTCTAATCCTGCCAATTTCATGGCTTTGATGGGATCCTGGGGAAAGGGATGGGCTAGGATAAAATTCTAACCTGGGTGGCAGCAGGTCAATCGGGTAGCTCCGGTTTGGGTACTGCTCCAGTTTGTCAAAATATTGGCTCAGAATGTGGATCAGCTGTGTGACTCTGTGTGTGTGTGTGTGTTTTGAGGTTGGAGGCCAATCTTATACAAAGCCTTGTGCAGAAACAAAAAATAATGTTAAAAAATTAAAAAATAATCTACCGTGCAACATTCCCTCCAGGCTGAATGTCACAATGGCTCTTCACAAACGCCAGAATTCTAGAAGCAGTGATTTGTGACTTATTGGGCTCATATCTGCACCAGCCACATGACCCAAGCAGAAAAGGGATTTTGCTGTCAGCTCAGCTGTAGCTCCTCAGTTATCTGTTTGTTCCCCACCCGCCCCACGTTTGCAGTGTTCGGGAATGCAGTGCTCAGGGAGGATTTATTTCTCAGAAATGTGCAGTGTTTAATTTCTAAGAAGAGAGGTGCTGAGTTTTGAGCCTGCAGAAGAGTTTGCCCTCTAAGCCCCGATTCACTAATTCCAGATTAGTTGCATCTAATTGTGGTTGTTATGAGGGCAAAGTTCTCTTTGGGAGTCATTTTGGACTCACAGCTGTCCATGGAGGCACAGGTCAAATCTGTATCCAGGGCAGCTGTTTACCAGCTCCATCTGGTATGTAGGCTGAGACCCTATCTGCCTGCGGACTGCCTCGCCAGAGCGGTGCATGCTCTGGTTATCTCCCGCTTGGACTACTGCAATGCGCTCTACGTGGGGCTACCTTTGAAGGTGACCCAGAAACTACAACTAATCCAGAATGCGGCAGCTAGACTGGTGACTGGGAGCGGCCGCCAAGACCTACACTGGCTCCTAGTACGTTTCCGAGCACAATTCAAAGTGTTGGTGCTGACCTTTAAAGCCCTAACGGCCTCGGTCCAGTATATCTGAAGGAGCGTCTCCACCCCCATCATTCTACCCGGACACTGAGGTCCAGCACCGAGAGCCTTCTGGCAGTTCCCTCACTGCGAGAAGCCAAGTTACAGGGAACCAGGCAGAGGGCCTTCTCGGTAGTGGCGCCCTCCCTGTGGAACGCCCTCCCACCAGATGTCGAAAAGAACAACAACTCCCAGAAGACATCTGAAGGCAGCCCTGTTTAGAGAAGCTTTTAATGTTTGATGTATTACAGTATTTTAATATTTTTTTGGAAGCCGCCCAGAGTGGCTGGGGAAGCCCAGCCAGATGGGCGGGGTATAAATAAATAAATAATAATAATAATTATTATTATTATTATTATTATTATTATTAACAGGCTTAAAAGCTTTCTACTTTATATTACTTCCCCTATTACAGGGCTAGGCATGAGCATGGCAGCAAGGTTCTAGGTCTTGAGCGCTGGTGAGCTCCGCCTATATATATATAACCCCAAACGAATGCTTCATGTGCCTAATTTTTGACAGTATTTATTTGCCTGTTACCTAAATTTATATCCTGCCTTCCCACACAGAAGTGCCCGAGGTAGCTAAAAACTAAAAAATGAAATGAAAGCAATCCTGTAAAATATGTAACAGTATGGAGACAAATAGAGGTGCAGCCCCTACAAAACAGATCAATAACAGTGGCTGGGTAACCAGTTAAAGCAGAGAGAATAAAGTGAGTCCTAAAAACAGGCTTTGGGCTTCTTGCCACAGGCATACATTTGGGTTGAAAATCACAAGACTTCTGGACCTTGCAGTTCTGGCTAGTTTTCAGGCAGGCTCAGTTCTTGGCTCAGTTTTGTCTTTTCCTTCGCTAAGTGCTATCTGCATCCTCCAGCATCCCAACATATGGGTATCATTCCTTTTTTAAATGCATTTGTGCCCCCAAAATACTTTTGGAGGGGTGGAATTATCTTAATCTTTGCCCACTTTTAAAAACACATGCAGTCCTTTGCATTATTTTTTTTAAATAATACTATTGCAATTTAATATCCTCTGGTTTTAGTGGGAACTACTCTTGAGTAAATGGATACTATTTTTATATTTATGCTGGTAAGTTGTTTTAAATTGTTTTCAATATGGTGTTTGATACTGTAACCCACCCTGGGGCCTTAAGTTCAAGGGTGAGTAATAAACAAATCAGCACAACATTGGCAATATTACTGCTAGAGCCAGGACAAAGAGTTGAATCTGGCTTAATTCAGTAGATTAAATGATCCTAAATATATCTTATCAGTGGCATTATGGTCTCTTCACATAAAAGAAAATAGCAATCCCTGCAGGGCCAGGGCCAGTCCTCAGGGAGCTCTTGGCACAGGGCCAACAATGCCCTCACCCCTCCAAATGGAGCAGAGCCCAGCTCTGCTTATGGTGCCCATAGTGTCAGCTGCCCCACATTTTCTCTGCTGCCTCTGCTTTGGCAGTGGTGGTAGAGCCACTCAGCAGTCTCCATAGATCTATGACATTGTTTACATTTTGGGTAGCTTAAAAATGGTGGGTGGAAGTTGCTTGGCTCCCATTCAAAAGGGGCCCCACTGTTGAAAAGCACTGAGGGAGCTAGTAGGGATCGCAGTGAAAGGCAGTGTGGCTGGGTTGGGCTGGGGCCGGAGGGCTCTTCCATTACCCTGGTGCCCTCAACCAGTGCTCAACCTTGCTGACTGCTGGTACTGGGTCTGACTCTGTGCACCTCCATTTCTCATGCCGTAAGTCTGCACCTACACCAATTATTTTGGTGTAGAACAATTTAACAGTTTCCTGAAGGATAAATATCTGCTTGATCCCTCCAGTAGCTGCCCCACAGGTGTCAAATGCTCACTTGCTTTCCACCACCCGACGCCCAAGCCAACCATGTATTTTACGGCATTATTCTCTTCCTTTATAAAGAAAATTCTTTGCCTTCCTTGCTGTGCAGAACAGATCAAATGTGACTGTTCAAGCACACATTCACCTGGTGCTAGAGTGTTCGCTGGCTTGAAAGGAATCCACAGCTAACGCCCAAATGTAAATAAAAGATCACTGGGAAAGATAAAAGAAGCAGAGAAACAAAGAAGGTGCCAGTTGACTTGTTTAGCTCTCACTGCAGGTCTTTTTGTTGGCCTTTCTGCCAACCCGTTTGCATAACATGAGGTGCGGTCCAGATCTCAGCCACTTTGAGATGAAGACTTAGAAGCACAGAGTTGCATCACGCAGTACATGTGTCTCGTATTCCTGCCTCACTTATTGTGACTGTATTAAAGTCTCCCACCTGGCTATATAAACAAGAGGTGTTGCTGTGACCTGACCCATACTACCCATATTTCTGTAGCTTGTATTTATGCTTCAGAAAATGCTATTTTTAGCAAGTCCGTACATAGGTTTTCCACTATTAATTTGCTTGTTTGATATTATTACTTTAGAGTTTTAAGGAGTGTAAACAGCCAAGGTTTCTGCAGAAGAAGCTTTCAGGCACTTCCAAAGAAAAGACTTTGAGATGCCACGTTACTTAGGAAGTTAGCGATCTTGTTCGTCATTCATGGGACATTGTACACTGTGTCAGCCAACCACTGTGATGGGTGTGATGGTTCTGCAAATGTATAGAGATCTTCCCAAAAACAAAAAACAGAGTGATCTACCAACAACTGCTCTGTGAGAAGGATTCCAATGGAGAGTGAGAGAGAGGC